AATAAAGTAAAACAGATTTATTTGAATATAATGATTTCAGTTTATGTATGTTTCATATTTATGAATCTCAAAGAAATTGCCTTGAAGTAAGCTGAATTACAGAAATATGCCTATATAAAATTTTGGATACGTCTTTCCACATGTTCAACTATGTAAATATTTTACTTACTTCTATCGCTACACTGGCTAGAAATTTGTAATGTTTATGCAAACAATTTTTAACAACAGAGTAGCTCATTTTGATCAAATGCACAAATTATATTCATAAGACTTCACAAAACTTGAAAATGAATAATAATTAATACATAAAAGAAAGCATTACATTATCTAACACCTTTATATTTCATAAAAATAGTAACAATTGATTTCTTACTTTTCATGAAAATTATAAAACGAATTACTTAAAACGTACAAATTATAAAGTTTAAATCCTATCATATATCATTGTATGCTAAGGAACGAAAATACTAGCTATAAACAGAAGCATTAAAATATATTTAACATATTTTGATTATTATTAAGTCCACATCTGGAAAGAAAATCGTCAGGCTCAAATGCGTTATTTCTAGGGCGAAACACTCGAGTTTTTCGGAAATCTTAAGAAATTAAAATATCCATTACGTACACTTCCAAAAACTATCCGTGACCTACGCCGTCTTGAGTATAGCTCTAAAACGGCAGTCAGAAACTTAAACGGTAGCTATCCAGCTGACGGAAAAATTTCCGACGCGTCGATCTCTGTAATGATCGAGGTAAGGTTCCTATATTAGAGCCTTAGATCGAGGTGATGACACCAGACTCGTTCTCTGTCGAGTAGATCGCAAAAAACGACCGGTTCTTCCATGTCGACGGTGTCCACAAAAGGCCCTTAGTATTGCTCCGATCCAGGGATTAATTTCTAAAAGTAGAAGTACCAGAAGCACATTTCATAAGTGCACATCTGTGTAGCCACCGAGGGAGTGGCTTCTAGGATGGACCAATGGGCATCTAGTAATACTTCTGTCATGTCATCTGACCTTTCGCGTGCTTTAAGATTTAAGCAAGATGGTTGAAAATATTCTGCTACACAATTTTCTGTACAAAATAATTAAAGCATAGTCGAGTTCTGAAAATTTGCATTGCAAAGTTAGATCAAATATAAGCAATTGAGAAGATTTTAATACTTGGTTGAAAGAATTTGAAATAAATACAAGCACATGTTGGATACTCCGCAAAAATATCCATGTGAAATATTAATTAAGTGGTAAATAAGATGAAGAAAGAAATATGTGAGAAAAATATTTACACCAATTATATATGTAAATAGAAGTCAGCACCTTTTTTTGAAGTCTATATGAAAAAGATGTCCTATATAATAATAGCCAACGCAGAATTTTATTCAGAGTGAACTTAACTAATTTGCATTCGTATACATTTAGTGTGTTAAATTTCACATTTAATAACTGTTCACTCTTAAATGTATTGTCTACACAAGAAATACTCATCAAACAGAATAAATTTATCTTATTCACAATGAATATATTCAATTTATTCACATATAACTTTTAATGTTAACAATGGATATAATCAGATCATGCACAATATGTATTCTGAATCTTATACTTTAAACATCAAAAGAATGCAAGCACTGAAATAAGAAAACACTAGATTCATTATAATACTTCCAATCCTTCTCAGCTTAATTCAAAAAACTATACACTTGAATTCTCTTAATCCACAGGTGTTAGTATATGCATAATATTCGAGGCTAACTGTAGCTTCAGTCATTTTCTCGATCTAAAAAGCCGTTAACATCAATCCAAACATTAATGCGTGATAAAAATCGCGAAAGTGAAATGTCAGGCATTCACTAAACGAAAACACTACGAGATTTTCTACTATTACGCCATACATTTATAACTGCGAAACAAATGCAAATTAAAACATAAACAACGTACGTTCACGTGCACGAAGATTTAGCGTCACAAGAGCAATAGAAGCTCATTGGTCCATTTTCGAAGGCCCTCCCTCAGTCGCTGCCCTGATGTGCACTTGTGAAATATGCGTACCGGAACCCTATGGAAGACCATCAGGAAAGAGTAACAAGAGTAAACAAATAAATAAAATCACTATTAAAATTTTTAATAATTTTAAAATTAAATAGTTAATGAGTATCAAATTATTATTTGATTTATATTAATAATTAATACCTGTTCCTTAATTTATAATTATTACTTAAATAATTCATAATTAATTTGTTATTTTTTATTATTATAATTAAAGATTAAAGCAATTAAATAATTAAAATTAAATAAAATGTAAAGAGATAAAATTTAATAAGCGATGTTTTACATAATTTTTCTACTAAAAATAAAATTTCCTAGATCAAATTTCTACTGAAATAATTGTTCAGTTACATTAAAGAAGTATCGGAGCCTTCTTATTTAGGGCTGCCTCCGGTGTGCTCCGACTAGAATTAGAATATACCCCAAAAACTCTGGTCCGATCCTATTTCTAATTTAATCCTATTCTAATATATGTGCTTTTTCTAATTTAATAGTCTTTGCTTGATAAGCAAACAGCAAACATAATAATATTTTCCGAATACTGTCTGTCTACGGTAAGAACAGCTCCCGCCACGGTGTCTGGCGAGTGGCGGTCGCTATAGCAACAGGGCTAGTATATTTCAAATAGGGACGAACCAAGGGTTGCTTTATTGTTATTTTGTTTTTGGCGACTGTTGGCTTAAGGGAAGTTTATCATTCGTCTTCTCGGCTTCATTCCAGCTGCACGCATCTTTTCTTATGCCTTATATTATTACTATTAGCTCTTTTTATTCTCGTTGTTATATCTTTTGTGCTAGCATTTGCTCAAATTCGCTTCTATTTAGCTTCATTTTCGTAGTGCTTTGTTAATCGCCAATTTTTTAAAATGCCCTTCCAGTTTAAGAAAGGTCAACCTTTAAAGTCTCAGTCACGTCAAATCGTGTATAAGTGTCGCAGAATTTTGCGCTTCTGAAGCTTCGGCGAACTCTTTAGTAGTTCCTCTTCCTTAAGTTTGTCCTACTGGAATATCAGAGTATACAATTAAAAAAATTAAGCACAAAGTATCAACAATGGGTGAAAATAAACTTCTGAATACACTTGGAAAAGAAATGTAAAAGCCCTGCTAATCATAAGTGTGAAATTGACGATTTTGACAAATGCGTTCTACGGCAGACAATACAAGACTTTTACATCAAAGAAAGTGCCATCTGTGCGGAAATTACTGCCTGCCTTGAGGCAAAAAATAGACTTCCCTGTGGCAAAAAGACTCTTTGTGCAAAGTTTTGTGCATTCAATGAATTTTCGCGTTGAAGAATGCGTAAAAAAGAAAAAAAAAAAATTCTTATCGAAAGACCTCACATTGTATTTTGGAGGAACAATTATTTACGCGAAATGAGAAAACTCAGAGGGCAAGTGAACGCCACATCGTTTACATCGATGAAACATGGATTGACAGCAATTTGAACTTTTAAGAAATGTTGGCAACATGATACGGTTTTGGGCGCACAGCCAGTTTTCCCTTAGCAAGCCCTCCATGAAGGCATCCCTCCTCTTAAGCATTTAACCCTTGGAGGCTTTCCGTAATCATATAAACCAACCCAAACCACTGGATAATTAAGGAAAAAGCAGTTTTGATTTTAATTCACCCTTCGCTTCCTTTTCCGCCATTAAATTGACCAGCTTTTGGTTTAGTTTAAAGGTATGAGGAAAAGAAGAAATGTTCGCAAAAAGTATTTATTGAGAGCATGGGTATGTAAAAAAACGCTTTTACTTTCAAGATGATTCTATATACATTTAATGATGAAATTTTTAGTCATTATTAAAGCACAAGCAATAAATTATCAGAAAATTTTGAAATAAAAACATAGCAGAACGTCATTTAAAGACTGAAGAAATTGCTTTGAATGTTCACGGTAGATCAGCTAGAGGGGAAAACTATAAAAATTAAATTTATTTTATATTTATGAAGTGCGTCTATACTATATTAAAGAGAATGGGGCAATCAAGTAGATTTTCTAAGATGTCATCTATGATTTTGCAAGCAAACAAATAAACAAAAAAGAAGCAAAATAATAGCATGATTTTATTTTTTAAATGTCGAAATTAAAATTTTTCTTCAAAAATAAACACGGATTTTTTAAATTTATTTCCCTACAAGTTATTTTATATATTTTTACTCATTGTACATCTAGAGGGATGGCAAATTCAGCGACTTGTACCTCACACGGCAAAATCAAAGACCGTTTCTTGACTGCAAAAAGCTTTATCTACGCCATCGAATTTCATTTTCTTTTCGGAAATTGGATGTCGGGTCGACGCAAAAGGTCAACAAGCATTTTACTTGAAACTAAAACAAAATGTGAATATCGCCAAATCATCTTTAAATGCGCCAAGGTGGCAAACTCAGAAGTAAGTCTTCAAGGCACCCCTACGAAAAATGGGTTAGGGCTCGTTTCTACGGCAACAGACAGCTGCAGACAAACTGGCGAGAGCTGTTCTTACCATAGACAGACAGTACGTATCCCGATCTTCTGCTACAGATAATCCCTTAGCAGGGAAAAAGTATCACGCTGTCCTCCTAGAAGAAGTATGACATCGGATGACAACCATAAAGTGGTCTACCATAATAAGCTGTTTCTCCCCGTTTTGGCGTTAAGGCTGTTCTCCGAACCTTATCCCAAAGGTCTAACGATCCTGCAATTTGACCATTACCATTTGGATAACTCCATTTTGGTGCGAGGCTCTGGATATTTTTCGGAAAACTGCCTTGAGGCAAAAAAAAAAACGGGAGAACCTGTTATTTGTATGCTTACGGAAGGCATTTTCTTATTAGAGTCGTACATTTTATATTTATTTCGATCATATTTGCTGTTTATTACATTACTGTTTAATATTTGATTTATTATTTTCTGCTGCCATTTTTTTTCTCCTCTTTCTCAGCTGACACATTGTGTAACTGTGATCGTGGGGAAAATGGCGCCAATATTTTGAGTTAATATTGAGGTACTTTTCAGTATAAATTCAAGTAGCGTTATTTTTAGTCAGTAATTTTATGGTTATGGTTTCAACTTAGTTAAAAATTAATGGAAGTTTATTTTCGTATCGTGAAAACAGTTGATGCGATTGTTTTTAAAATACATTTAAATTAAATTTTTCGAAATAATAATTTTCTGCTTAGAATAATTGAGGGTTTATCATTAATTAATTTTTCACATGTAAAGGGAAATGCTAGGAAACATATCGCATAGCACTTAATATGTAAAACATGTAATATTGTAATGATATGTTCTGAAATATATGTTTTATCGCATAAGTTTAATAATTAAAATTTTTTTTTGTTTTGTTTTTGTAGAAATACTACTTTTTATGCGCAAAAAATTTTTATTTACCTCTTCGATTTGCTTTTCTGGTTCTTTTACGTGAATAAAATCCTAATTTCTGTTAAGAAATTAATATCTTTCATATTAATGTAAATGCATATGACAAAAATTAAATTTTTCATAAGAGTTGAATTATGTTGAGATATTTTATTATACATAAGAAATATAAAAAGTGCATGATGTTATTTGTGTGGATTAAACTAATCTATTTGGGTAAAGGGCAGAATCGTCCACTTATTTGTTTGGTGCTTTTTACAAGAGTAAGAAGAATTTTTCTTTGACTTTTGAAGTGAAAATAGGTTGATGTGTACATGGATAAAGTTAACGAAGTGCACAATGTCATTTTTGTGCAATTCTGGGATTTTTTTTTTTTAAGTGAAAGGTCGATGTATACATGGATACCGAGTTTCTGCAATTCTTAAAAACGCACCAAGCAATGGGTGATTCTGCACTTTTCCCATCTATTTATTAAAAATATATATATGCTTCCTCATTCTAGTTGCCATTGCATAAGCTTTTAATGATCTTTAAAATTTGTCCAGTTGTGTATTAGCATATACATGTAATGTCTCATTATTCATCTATTTTCATACCTCAGGAATATTTTCCAGAAATTTACCAATGATGTTCTTTACATATTTTAGAAGTATTTCAGAAATTTAAACAATAAACATGAAACAAATCTTTTTGTATGTCTATATTTAAAAATCATTCCAGCTTATGTAGAAGAAGCAATCATAACCTACTTTTTAAGAATACACAAAAGATTTTTTTACAGGGTAGAAGAGCATTCTTATGAAACATACTATGCTTGAGAGAGATTTCTTCCACCAGCTTAGATGTGTATTCTGTTAAAATAAGCTCGGAACATTCTAGAAATAAATATTCCTGAAATATCATAAAAGGATGATTCTCAATCTATTGTCTGTAGGCCACAAATAGTTTTCAAATCTTGCCGCTTTGGTCCTCTTAGATTAAAAAAAAAAAAAAAAAAAAAAAACAAGAATGTGCTTTTATTTGTAAACAAAATTATACATCATTTTTACTGGTGGCATGTAGCTAAGTACATTGGCATATGCTTCAGATGTGTTTACAAAACTAAATGAACTAAATCTCTGCCTACAAGGTAATGCTTTGTCTATTTTCAGTGCACATGGAGAGTTAAGGAGTTTGAGCAAAAATTTGATTCATGGATTAATTGTGCCAATCAGAAATTTTTCACCATTTCTAACCTTACAAACTTTTCCAGTAGAAAATATCTTTATTGAAAAACAATTCTGCAATGATATATATTCATTTCTTGAAACTCTGAGGTCACAATTTGAAACTTATTTTCCAAGTGGTATAGGTAGCAGATTTTCGTGGATTATTAATTGCAATATTGAAAAAAAGAAATTTTTTTTCCATTAAATAAGATAGCCATGAATTATTAAAACTTAATGTAAATTTCGGGTAGAGTAAGACTTGAAGGTACCCCTTGTATTATGGCAAAGTTGTTGTTTGATTTATCGCCAAGTTGTTGTTTCATTTATGGGAGCCTGAGTAGTTGAATGTTATGGAAACCCTATTGTGACGTAATCGAGTGCATGATTCTGGGAAATTTTGAATCATAGGATGTTTCGTAAGCATTTTTGTGGTGTGTGTTGGTTTGATTCTTTAGACGGTAGAATGGCCGAATGTAGTAAGATTAATTTGAAGTTTCTGTAGGATTTGGAGCGAAAGGGAAAAAGAGCTTTAATGGACTGGTGTGTAAATGAGGGTTTACTTAGTAGCCATTATAAGTGTCCTGTATGTAGGAAGGATATGCGTCTAGTCGAATGTAAAAACCGTTTAGATGGATTCGAATGGGTTTGTAGGAAAAAAGGTTCAGATGGTCACTATGTGAAGCGTTTGATCAGAAAGAGTACCTGGTTTGAAAAAAGTCATTTGAGTATGATTGACATTTTGATTTTTACGTGGCTCTAGGTGTACGAAGCGAACTCAAAAATCATGGTAGGGAAATATTCGCTTTTGGTAGTGCTTAAATATATAACATGTTTTTCCTTTTTTATGTTATTTTATTGTTTGGTTTAAAATGTATTTTATTGAGATTATGTATTTTTTGTTTGCCTATATTGTAGAATTTGGTGCTCCTTTGACTTTTTAAGTGAAAATATATCAATGTGTACATGGACAAAGTAAAGGGAGTGCGCAATGCAAGTTTGTGCAATTCTGGAATTTTTTTTTTTAAGTAAAAATAGGTCGATGTGTACATGGATAAAGTTAAAAGAGTGCGCAATGCCATTTTTGTGCAATTTGGGGATTTTTTTTTAAGTGAAAATAAGTCGATGTGTATATGGATACCGAGTTTGTGCAATTGTTTGTCTTGTTAATTTTATTTTAAAAGTATAAATGTACTTGTAGTAATGAATGTAAAAATAATTGCTTTTGAAGGAACAAGAGTAAGGTGGTCCACAAAACATTCTAATTTTTAAAAATGGTTCTCATTTCAAAAAGGTTTGAGAGACACTCATAAAATATTCTGCAGGATATGTCTGGGTATTCCAAATCACTTGCAAATGTTTCAGGAATGGTATGGGAATGAAAATATCGTATAAGACACAATTTATTCTGGACTATGTGTGGCAAAAGTATAGAACTTGCTATTTGGTTTAATTATTTCATTATCTTTAACACTACAAATAATAAAAATTTTAGTTACAACATGAGTTTGCTAAAAAAAAATTTTATAATTAATTTGTGGTTAAGGCAGAGTTTATTTTTTCTCTGATATACTGCCTAATAATAGTAAGATAAGCATCCCAGTTTTGCAGTGAGACTTGAATAGTCACCATAGTCAGCCAGACCTGATTAGTAGTCACCATAGAGGAAAACCATATTTTTAATACATTATGTATTATGCGTTTACTAGATTTTTCAAGAAATGCAGCACAAGCAATCCACTACTTCAGGCATATGGTATTTCATGAAAAAATATCACAAGTGTTTGAAATCTCATATAATGAAACTATACATGATGGAAGAGATACGAAAAAGATAGAATATTAGCAACAGTTGATAAAGTGTTAGAATAAGAACTGAGAATCAGTCTGAGGGAAGTGGTTTCTCTTCTTATTTATTAGAGGTCATTCGGAGACTGAAACAAGCTGTGGAAGATAGCACTTTGATGTGATTGCCTTCTAGAATTAAAACAAAAAATAATAATCCATTTACTGAAACAAAAAGTGCTAATAGATTGAGGTGGTGTGTTGGCAAGTATCAGCTAATACATGAATACCATAATATATATATGTATGTGTGTGTGTGTATATATATATTATACAAAACAGTTGTTTTCTGATTCATTGTCTTTTTTTAATTGCTTTTGTATTTCATTTTAAAAACATGTCTGTCTTTTATTTAGGTATTCATTTACGAAGTTTCTTTAAGTCAGATATTTCTAGTCTCCAAAATGGCAGATATATATTTACAGAATGATGTGAACAAACTGTTTAAAGATAAACATGTAGTTTTTTTAGGAGATTCAAGTAAGAACATTTTAAGTTACTTCGTTAGTTATTTTTTTAATATTTATTTTGGGTATATTTTAAATCAGATCATATCAGCTAATGTAGCTTTTAACCCTCTTAGTGTTATGGACAGAAAATTCTGTATAGAAAGATGGCTTTCACTTACATCACACATGAAAATTTCTGCTAGATTTTAATGTGTCAGATTTCGGGTTGGACGTATATCGAAAGAAAAAGAATCAAGATACAAAGTGAAAGAGTCATTTTTTACTTATAATCAAGAATGACATTTATTTATTCACGGCATTTTGAGGTACTTGGAAATTTCAGAGTTAACCCTGTAACACTTGGAGGGTTAAAATGCATAAAAATGGTATAACATTTATTTATTAGATGCAATCTGGTGATTTTGGTGGCTTTTTTTTTTTTTTAAATATTGTTGGAGTAGCAATATTAATCACAAGTTTGCAAACCCGATAAACACATCAAAAGAAAACAAACTTCAAGAATTTAAAATACAAATTTTAATTATTAGATAAGGATTCTATTATGCATAACTATTTATCTCAACAAGTATGTAATAATTTGTATTCTGCTTTGGAAAAATCAGAGACCTGTTTAAATTTGACTTTGCACATTGACTATGATCGAATATAAATTCTTAAATAAGAATTAATATGTATATATATATAAACATAAAGTAAGAAATTTAGAACTAATTTTTTGCAGAGATCAAAAATTGAAATTCGTAATTAATAAATTTAAAATAATCTTATAAATGCAACAAAGAATTTAAAAAATGCTAAAACCAAAATTTTTCAAACAAGCAAAACCTCTTTAAAAAAATTAATGAAATTTAAAGAAAAATGAACAGAAACAGAAGAAGAATTCAATCAACTTCAATGCTACTTGTCAGGGAGTGTTGAAATCTCTCTTCTACAAAAATCCTTGCTTTTCTGTATCCAGAATTAGCCGATGGTATTTAATTATAATTTTTATTGGTACAACTCTGATATATGCCCTAATTTCACCAAATGTGGCGATATGTGTTCTGTGCTGTTTTTTGGCGCGAGTGCTTGTTGTATGGCAACCCTGTTCACGTTGAAAAATCTTTCGCTGGAGTTCGTTGGTCAGCGTCATGCTCTGTGTATGAGAAGCTAGGGGGGAAGGTAAAATGGTGGAAGTTGTTGAATTGAAGTTCGGCAAAAGGAAATATCGTCGTGTCCATCCTGTTGAGAGGCAGTGGGTATTTGGAGGTTTGGATAGAGGGTCTGGGAGATTATTTTTAATGGCTGTGCATGATAGAAGTAGGGATTTGTGATTATTTGTTATTCTTTTTATTTGTGAACCATAGTAGGAATTTTCTGGATAGTGATTACGTGGCGGCATATTAAGGGTGGTATGAAATTGGTATTTCTGCTGTTCGAAAAAGCCTTTATTTCTGGTAAGTGCATTTTATTTTATTCTTGTTCTTATTTTGTAGAATGTTATGTTCATTGTTTTTTTAGTATGAATTTCTGTCGTTATTGTTCTTTTTTTGAATTGTTTGAAATTTATTTTAGTTATTTTGTTGATTAGTGTGTATCGTCTAAATTGTGCGATTTGTAGATGTTAAGTTGGAACAGAACGCTGTATACATGGTATTCTTTGAAATTTATTGTTGTTATGTTAATTTATTAAAGTGAGGTGTACGTAGTTCGTAAATTCGTTTGTTGCCTAAATTGTGCAACTCGTAGATGTTTTTTTAAGTTAAACAGGATGCTGTGTACATGGTATTCTTTGAAATTTATTGTTATGTTAATTTACTAAAGCGAGGTGTGCGTAGTTCGTAGATTCGTTCGTTGCCTAGATTGTGTCATTCGTAGATGTTTTTTTAAGTTAAAACATACCGCTGTGTACATGGACTCTTGTCAAATAATTTTGGTTAGACACTTTACGGTTTTGCTATCTAAATGTTTTGTTTTTGTTTCGGATTTTTAGCTTAAATTGTGTGTTCAAAACGTGGTTTTTGCATTTGCGAAAACCATGTTTTTGGAGACATTTTAGGCTTAAAGTTCGAAATGTAGACAAAAAATTTAGATAGCAATATGGCAGCGTGGAGTTTCTCGCCAAATACTTTTGGCGAGAAATTTGGCGACTTGAGGGTGCATATCAGAGTAGTTCCTTTTTATTTTATTCTAGAAATGCCAAACATTAGCACTTAAGCCATTAGTTCACAAGCTCTCCAGTACTTTTTAACAATGTCCTGATACTGAGAAAGTGCAATACATTTATTTAAATGTTAAAAAATCATAGGCTGATTGGAGTCACACAAAATACAGGTGGAATAATCCACCACTCCAATTCTGTAGTGGTGGTCTCACAAACAGTCATGTCCGGTCAGACATCTAAATAGAGCTACTGCTGTCTTTCTTGGATAACTGGGAATGAAAGCTCTCTCTTCCCCTAGAATCCTCCAACTCTTATCCATAGCATGTTGAATCATATCCTCCTTACGAATTTTCTTAAGCGTCAGATTAACAAACAGTTTAGTTCGTATGAAATAAAAGCTGTCAATTAATGCACTATGAAAGTTCCTCTCTTATCCAAAGTATCAGCGTTATCATTTTCTATAATTCCATAGTGGGCTGGAAACCATTGGAAAGAAATTCTGTGGGCCATTGCCTTAAGCAAAGGCCTAAGATTCTTTGGGAACTATTTTAATTATTCAGAAGAGCTTAAAGCGCATTTTTGGAATCTGGCTATATGACTGCATTTACAAAAGCGTGGCTACGAATCAACAGTTGTTGAATAGCCACAGTAATAGCTTCGATTTCACCATCAAAGGCAGAAGTAAGAAGGCCCATTGGTAAGTAGAAACTGAAAAGCTCACTATGGATACCTGGTTCAGCACTGTGCATTCTCTCTAACAAAGAGCTGTCAATGTAGACATGCAATCACTCATTTTGAGGATAGTGAACCTCAATAGTTTCCAATGTGATAGATCTTAATTGTGAATTGCTCATTTCGTTCTTAACAACTCTTTGAATAAGGTCAATATTTGTATTCAAAAAGTCCAAGGAACAATGGGGGAGGAGGTAAAATTAGATAATCTCGGCTCAACTCCAAAGCATCAGATTCTCTCTGAGAGCTGTATAAAGCCAATTTGAGTTTTAAGATTCCTAGAAATTTCCTTATTATAGTTCTCCAAAAAGTGTTGCCGGGTAAACGCACCAGCTTCTGGTATAATAGGATCACTTTTCTCTTAATACAATCATAAACAGGTTCCAAACGAGTTAAAAGCTTCATTGGAAGAATAGGAGTAGATCTCACTGCCCTAATAATTATGTGTAACATTTGGTTCTGGAAGACTTTGAGTATCTTGACTACATTCTCCAGAGCTGTGATGAGGATTTTGCTACAATGACTAATAATTGATTGAATGTATAATTTGTAAGTAGTCGTCAATGTTGCTCTGTCACAGCTCCACCTTGACCCAGCCAAACATTTTAAGACAGAGAGTCTTCTTACTGCTTTATTTTTCAAATGTTCTACATGTTTTCTCCAGTTTAAGCATGGGTCGAGGATGCAAGCCAAATATCTTTTTTAAACGTTATGTTGATCTACACCCTTATACGTCAACTGTGGGGTAAAAGTCTGTCTGTTCAGAGTGAAGAACTGGCACTTGCTTTTATCCTGATTTACTCTCATGCCATTTTTTTGACACCAATATTCCAGCTCTTTCAGAGCACTTTTAAGAGTCTCATTTAAACCATCCTGCTTCTTTTTAGAAGCACTACTCTAGATAACCAAATCATTGGCAAAAAGGGCAGAATCCACGCATGGTGCCAGAGTCTTGAGTAAATCATTAATAAAGACATTAAAAAGAATTGGGCTGATGACTGTTCCCTGTGGAAAGCCAGTTTCAATCTGTTTAAATCTAGAAGCCATATCTAACAGCAGAAAAGCTCTGTGATAAGAAATTCTCAATCCATAAAAACATCCTGCCATTTATTCCCAAATTCTATAATTTCTGAATAGTACGTAGTCTCCATACTTTGTCATAAGCTGATTCAATGTCTTTGAATGTTGCCAAGACAGATAAGTGATTGTCTAAAGAATCCTTAATGGCTTGACTAACATAAAGAAACCTTTTGGACAGAGGAATGATTTTGTCTGAATCCAGCTTGTGTAGGAGTCAAGAGACTGTTATTCTCCAGAAAGCAAGTTAGTCTAAAGACTATCATCTTTTTTATAATCTTCGACTAAACACTAATCAATGCAATAGATTGATGGCTTTTTATATTATTTCATATTTTTAATTTTATAATTAATTATAATAGTTCACCTAAAAATTCTGGCCATTTTCCAAAGCAAGGAAAAAGCAAAGTAAATTCTAATTAGAATCCTGAACCTTAAAATAAAGAGAATTCTATTTTATTTAAAGAATTGAAAATGAAAGTGAGAAAACAAAATATTTCAGTGAAAAATGTTTACCTTTAAACAGATAATCCAAAGAATTAAGATGGGAGTGAAATTATAAAACATAATTGAAAAAAAAAATAATTAAAATACACAAGAAGTAATTAAATTCAAGCACTCTCATTAGACACTAGTTTAAACTTTGAGATGTGTTACAGTGGTGATATACAAGTTTGCCATTTTGACTTCATTGGCGAAACTAAAAAAAATATTGGCAAGAAAGTAATCGCTCAAAAGATGTAATTTTGAAAAAAAAAAAAAAGAAAAGAAAAAGAAAAATTTTTAAATATTTCAATGAATTTTTTTCTTATTTTAGACAAAAAAAAAAAAAAAAAAAAGATTGTTATAGTAATTGAAGGAAATTCAAGTAAATTCTGACTCTTTTAAAACAAAAATGAAAAAAAAGAATATTATTCAGGATAAAACTTAAAAGTGACTGAAAGTAGAGTGAAGAAAGTGACAGAGAAGTTACTGAAAACGAGAAAATTTTGATTGACAACTTAATCGGAATTCTCAAAAAAGCAGTTACAAGACTTTAAGTATGTAACTGAACAAGAGATTATGTCTGTCTACAGAATTAAAGAGAAAGTATTAGCACAAAAAAACGAAGCAACTTAAACAACTTACATTGAAAGAAATGTTTAATAAGGTAATCAAATAAATATCAAGCTTTTTTGTTTGTTTGTAAATTTTGATACCCTTTAGATCATAAATACTTCATTATTTTGTAAATCACAATTTCATATTTTTAATTTTACAATTTCTACATGCCATCTTACTTGATTTAAACTGATGATCTAATATCCGGAATCGATGAAGTCCCGATAAGTCCAGATTTCGGACTTTGTACTGTATTAAATTTCTATAAAAAAAGGGCTATTTTAATTGCATCAAATAAAATAAGCTTATGATTTTTTCCTCCCTCCTTACTACATGCCTTTGTGATGGACTTGGAAGTTACATCCTGCTAGTAAATCTAAAGTTCTAGAGAAGAGTCCTTGTGTGGACATTGCTCATCTTTGATATTTCTTGCTTTAAAAAAAAAAAAAAAAAAAAAAGACTCTATAAGCTGTGTAAAAAAAAAAAAAAAAATTTTTTTTTTTTTTTTTATATAAACTGTGTTAAGTTAAAATATTGTGAAATAAAACTGCGAGTCTTGTTTACATAAAGTATATAGTTAGGATTTCTAATTGTCCATATTTCGAAAATTTGCTTTGTCTATATTTGGGACCTTGAATAAATTTTCATTATTCTCTTGAGTTAGACATACAGTTTATGTCGAAGAAACATAAGCTAAATATTTACATTTCATTAGTTTATGTATATATAATATTAAAAGAAAATTAGCATTCTTATTATCAACTATTTTTCTAGTTGATTATGGCAGTTTTCTTCGAAACTTTTATCATGTCTTTTCTCTTGCAGATACAAGAGCTCTGTATAAAGATATTTTATGTTTATCCAGAAAGACAGAATTTATTCCTGAAAGTATTCTCAGAACTAAAGTATGTTATTTGATAAATTTGAGCAGAAAAATAGGATTTTTATGATGAAAATATTAATAAAGTTGACTTGGGGTATATAAGCAGTGATCAGCTGTAGAAAGCTTGTGCGAACCTTTCATTGAATATTTTTCTAATAGCTTTTGTTCTTTTGATTTATTTGCTTATTTATCCCCCCCCAAAAGAAAAGAAATATCTTGAGTGGTATAATCTGCTTTGACTTACTTTACATTAGACTTTCTCTGAATGCTAAACTTCTTTTATTAGTCAGAATAAGCTTTCAACAAAATCTTCTGTGGCTGCACAACATATTTCAGATTTAATAACAACACTCTAAAATGGAAAATCCTATATAAGAATATTTTTTGAAAAATCATCGTTCAACCTTAGAACTTTCTATAAGATCAACTGATGTGTAATATATGTGGCAGCTTATGACATAAACTGCCTTGCATTATTCAATTTACTCATTATTTTATGTAATTTTTTTAATATTTTGATTTTTAAAGCTTTTTGATTTTAAAATATTTTTTTATTTATCCACAATTATTGCATTTTAGCTTTTGCAAAAGTTAAAGCATTTAATTTAACCAGTATTTGGTTTTTATATCAGATAGAATGGAACCCTGTATTAAAATTTTCAGTACTTCTCCATTTTTACAGCTTTCATTTTTTAAATACGCATCAAGAATAGCAATAAATCACCAGCAGCAATTTAATGTTAACTGTTTGAATTTAGCAAAGTAAAGGTGTGTGGGCTATTTGTTTAGCTACTGCACAAGTCTTCTTTTAACTATATGCATAAAAGATAAGGAAAGATTGTTTTTTAATTAATTTTAAGATGTATTTTGCAATTCTGTAAGATTCTATGCAATTTATTTTGCAATGTAATTTCAATATATCTTTTAATTATTGCATCTTGCTGCAATTAATTTACTGTCGGGGCAGAGGTTGTCAATTAAATGATGTGAGAAACAACTCAACTTTTGTGAAAATACTGTTTGCATGACTAGAAGAGCTTTATAAGAGAAATACATTCTCTACATTTAATCTAACTTCCAAATAAGCAAATAGGTGGCCCTGGAAAATTGTAGAAACAGATGAATGCCTGCGAAAAAGCAGTGCCCACAGGATTCTTCCATAACAGTAGATATTTGGTGGGTTATGCTGAGAAACTGACAAGTTTAGGTTTTAATTTGACAGGCAACCATACTGATGGCAAAAATCATGGATCATATACAAGAGGAATCAGAGGTTTATTCAGACTATTAACAAGCTTGCAAAACAGAGAAATTGTAAAAAGCAAGGTATGCTCACTTCACTGTGAGTCATTAATTCAATTGTGTAGATCTGGAAATGACTGCTCATACACAAAAGGCTTATTGACTGTGTGGCTCCTCTAAGTGAAGAAATAAAAAGCATTGATCCATGGTTTGCCACCATCTTGAGCCCTAGCTTGCCGATTTCATGTGGCAAAATTCCTTTAGATGAGAATATGTTTTTGATGTGATATTAAAAAAAGTCTTAGAAATATTGCAGTGACCTGTTGTTGACCAGTAGCCTTATTAACAGGATAAACAAAAAAATTAATACACATTTTGTATGCCACATGGATTGTATGTTGTATTTTTACAAGAAAATAACAGAAAAAAAAAAAAAAAAAGAAAGAAAGAAAGAAAGAAATTAAATACAGGAAATCAGGAAATATGTCTCTAAAACTGCAATGTACTTGTTAGTGATACAATTTAAATTATCTGATAATAGTTCATCACTTTAGATTAGTATTCTGTCATGCATTATAGACATTCTACATATTATTGACATTAGTAATTAAAAACCAGGTATGATTTATTTTTATGTTTATTTATATTTTTCTCAGTTATTCTGGATTACCATACTTGTCAACCTACAAAACTCAAAAATGAGATTTTTTCAAGAAATCTCAAGAATATTCTCAACAAAAAGATTTTTTAATTAATAAAAATATATAGAAAGAAAATATATTTTAATAATAAATGAAATTTAAATAATAACTGAAAATTCAGTTACTAATTCTTAAATCCAAATAGTGCAAAAATACTTGTATGTAAAAAGAAATGAAACCCCCTTTTTTTTGTCTGTACCTTTTAATAGAAAAATAATATTTTAATCAGTTTTTGCAGAACAATGTCAAATTGTAAAGAAAAAGTTGTAACTTTTTTCATGACAGTTGCCATGCAGGCCTGTTTTTACTAATAAAATTTTTTTCAAGTGTGTCATTACTATAAAATACTATCAGCATCTTTCAGTTTTCCATTTAAATTCCACAAAGGTGTCAATCATAGCTAGTTTTATAACTTATCCACGTTTTCTAACTGTAGACTGCAACTACAGTTTATTAGTTGCAACACCAATTTCATTGTCTTTCAAAACTAAATAAAGTAAAACTGGGAATATATTCAAAAAATATCTTGTATCAGAAAAAGACACACATTTTTTGAATGCACATGTTGCAGAACATCAGCCCTTCCACCATGGGAAACCGAACATAACGCATTGCAACTGTATTGCATTTCCTTAATGAAATAATGGAAGCAGGGGTGTTTGTGCTCCGGGGATTTCCGGGTATCGTCGTTTAAAAGGAAGTAGGAATAATAATGAATTATTTATTTTGATCTGGGTAATTTTGTTTGCTTTGAAAGCAGAAAACGCAAGGTCAGTGTGTGTGGTGAAAACTTTTCCTTTCTTTCTCCAAAGCAGTGAAGGCAGTGATAATGCGTGAAAAGAGGGAAAAAACTTCTTTTTTGTTCTTTCCGTATCGCGAGTTATAACTCATTCCCCCGGTTCTCGGACATTCTCTTCTGGATTCTTTTCGGCAAGTAGGCGCGGCAGAAAAAAAAGGGAGAGACTTCGTTCGACCAGATGTGCGATCACGTGACTCTGGGTTCAAAGGTCTTATCTCTCCTGGCATGGCGCCAATAAGTAGAGAAGGGGGATTTTTCGCCCTATTAGCTATTTGTCATTGATCGCTTCTCAACTTTTTTTTTCTCCGCTGTGTAAAATTTTCGTTTCATTTATTGATGCACATGTAAATTTTTCGTTTCGTTTATTGAAATATTTTTTATTTATGTACGCAAGAGAATTTCACTATGAAATTTCTCGATATAAATAGTGATATTATACAATTAGAAGAAGGTGTCCGGAATGCATTTAGGGGGAATTCGATTGAATGGAGAGATGGTAATGGGGATACCATCGGCACATGGTGCAAGAAAATAAATGTTGCTGGACAAGCATATTGTGTTTTTTGTAACTCACTGCTGAAGTATGGTGGGGAAGGATTCAAGGCTTTCACAAATCATTCTAAAACTGTGACGCACATAAAATATTCAAAGTGCATTAGACATTCAATGACTTTAAGTAATTATGCTAATTAAAAAAATACTGATGACTTACTGGAGACTGATGCTCGGCCATTGGATATAGTGACAAGAAAAGCACGCCAAGAGGTATTAATAACTTCGTTTATCACCGAGAATCCTCTCTTTCAATGTAGCTCCCAATTTAATTGAACTCTCTGCAAACAGTTGAGCCGCGATCAGACGGCACTAAACTCGTTGGAAATGTCCAGGACTACTGCATGTTATAAGATGAAATATGGGCTCGCAAAAACTATCAAGGAAAATATCATTAAAAAAGGAAACTCCATTTTCTCTAAATTTGGATCAAAGTACTAGCAATGCTCAAGAAAGTATACTGGCAATATTGGTGCAGTTTTATGACAACAATCAAAATGAAGTTGTAGTTCATCATTTTGCATCTCTAAAGATGGAATCTTGCAATTCAGAAGCTGTTTTTAAAGCAGTTGTTAATACTATTGAAGATAATAATATTCCATGGGCAAACTTAATTAGTGTATTAATGGACTCATGTAACACCATGCGTGGAAAAAAAAAGGGTGTTGAAACCAGACTGCAATCAAACAAAGCATCCCACTTATTAGATATTGATGATTACACGTGTCACACAGCTAATAACTGTGCAAAAAATTTGCTTCATGTTTTGATAGATACTTAGAAGATTTGTTTGATGACATCTATTTTGATATGAAAAGCTGCAATAAAAGAGAAATTTTTTTCAAAATTTGTGAATCCCTTGCCATTAAAAAACTTAAGCCCTTGAAGAGACCAGACCATAGGTGGGTGTACATTTTATGTGTTTTAGAAAGAATCAAAGATCTGTGGGATGCTCTTATTGCATTTTATTTTTACTACTTGGATAAAACTGATAAAGGGGATTATTTTTCTTATGTTGAAACTGTATACAATAAAAGAAATATTTCTGCAGCTCAGAAAAAATTGTTGAAGGGGTGTATTCATGCTTGCATTCCCAACAGCTCACAAAGGATGCTTTAGCTCGGAAAAAAAGAATACTAAATAGGTTATTTGTTATGCAAAACAAAACTTTATTGCATATGGCATTATATTCAGCAGTATTACCAGAGTTCAACACATATATTAAATTATTTGAAACAAAAAAACCAATGCTTCATTTAATACATTCCAGTATTTATAAATTGATGGCAAAATTTTTCTCTTTTTTTATAAAGCCAGAAAATATAGAATGCACATCTTTATAATGATTTATTAAAGGTTGATGTCACAAATCCAGAATTCCATCTACCTAGCAAAGTATATTTACTGGTGCAGAAGCTTCCACTCTCCTGAAGAAATTATCAAAAAATCATCCAATAGCAAAAGAATTCCAAATTTCTCTGATGAAAGCTTATACTAATACAGCACAGCATATGAAACAGAAATTACCACCCCTTAAAAATTCATATCTAATTAGTTTTACAACATTAGATCCAGAGCTAAGAGGTAAAACCAGTACAATATTAGCTTTTGAAAAATTATCATCTTTTATGTCCCATATTTTTAGTGATAATGAAAAGTCAAAAGTAGAAGCTGAAATAAGGTTTATACCAGAGTGATATTGATATCACCAAAGAAATGCTCTACACATCTGATGAAAGTGGAAATCAAGTCAAGTGTACAATTGATAAATATTGGTCTAAAGTTTTTTAATTTAAAAGATGATTTCACAAATGATTATAAGTATCCTACATTGGCTAAATTGGTCAAAGCCTGCCTTAGCTGCTTCCATGGCCCATTAGTGGAAAGTGCATTCAACTTAATGGATACACTTGTCACTGACTATAGAACCTCTCTTAAGATTGATTCCCTAGATGCAGTGCAGACTATTAAATATGATTTAATGGCTTCTAAAGAAACCTCATGTGAAAAATATGGCTAAAAAAATCCAATGTCTGATCCAATTCACAAAGATCTCTTACTGAATATGAACAGAAGTGGGAAAACATATCAAGAGGACTTAAAAACATGTTTCAGATGAGTCACCTATAAAAGTCTCTGAAAACCTTCTACATTAGCAGAAAAGCAAACTGCTTCTACCTCTGCATGTGCAGTTCTCGAGGAAATTTCTTCAACTGTAAATGAGGAAAATAAAAGTCAACCTTCCTGCAATTATGAAGTTCACCACAAAAGAAGACAAGCCCACAAATATCAGAAATAAAAAAAAAGCAGCAGAAATTAGATAATTTTTTTTAAAGAATTAATTCAGGTGATTTAAAATATTTACATAAAATGTAGTAGTTTATATGTTTGAAAATTTATTGTTATTAATTTTGCAAAAAAAGTAATTCATTGAACTTTTATAATTAGGTCATTCAATACTTCATAATTGTAATTTTTCATTTCTCCCCCCCCCCTTCTTGAAACTCCAAAATGTCGGTAGTAAGTCCGTAAAAGTTTCAGGGGATTTTTTGGAGTCCCACAAACACCCCTGTGGAAAGAAAGTCATTTGGTGCAATTTTTGAAAAGTAAAGGAGTATTTTACTTTTTTTACAGACATAATTAAAATAAAAGATCGCAGTTTCTTAAACTATTTCTCGAAAGCACATCAAACTCACAGTGCTCAGCGTGAGAGAAACAAAGTAACAACATCAATCTTGCTTTGTGCTTATTGACTGGTATATGCCAGTACTTGATGCTCGTTGGAGAACTGGAATATGACATTTTCGAACCCATGTGCTCTCACATACAAAGCAGAAGCGTGCCACAATGTCTCATTGATGAAATGACTTTAGATTTCTTTTTTATGTAATCTAGACCGACATCAAAAATCTCTTTTTTTGATGCAAATAAGAAAATATGAAGCCAAGCTACATAAAAATCCTGAGAAATTTTAAGAATAAAAGAAGGTCGGAAGAGATATGTTGTAAATTGTATTAGCTGAAGTATGATCAGAAATCAGGAGTTCCCACCTAAGTCAGGAGAGTTGGCAACTCTGTGTAATTAAACTGCATATTATTATAGATAAAAGCAGCATGTGAACATTGACATCTACTATCATCAATGTTATTCTGCACTAGTGGTTCTCAACCTTTTTTGCTTCATACACACCTTTCATCATTACTAGACAATTATCACCCATCTCTAAAATTTGAAAAATGTGTGTGTATATATATATATATATATACACACACATTTTTCAAATTAATATATATAAATATAAATTGTGTAAATATATATAAATGTAATATATATATATATATATATATATATAGTTAATTTTTTATTGTGTTTTATAAATTTAAAAAAAAAAGTGTAGAAAATGTTGATAAATGCCAAAGTAGTTTTTATGTTCATAAACTAAAATTAAATACTTTACTGGTAAATAAAGAACTGACCCCCATTTCCAGTTGAGAATTCGTGTTCTACACCATTTTCTTTCCTCTTTTGTGTTTTCTGTAGATAATTTTGCTTGATACTGATGATTGCTAATAGAATTTTTTTATTGTTCTTCAATAAACAAATTTATATAAAGGATAAAAGATGATCTCCAGTTGAGATAGAGAGTTGACCATAGTTTCTAGAAAAATGTTACTAAAAGACCATCAGACTTTTTCTCTTTACTTAATGCCAAATTAAGTAAAGAGCGCTTTCAGAACAGTAAATTTACAAAAATATTTAAATCTCACAAAATGCTTTTAGCAGTTCCTGTAGCTATTAAAATTATAAAATAGAAGGGATAAATTTCATATACATTTAAGTGAGGGTGGTATACCCTTTAACGATTTATTTTCTGAAAAAAATGGCACTACTCAAAAAGTATAAGAAATCGAAAATGTTTTAAGTTCTGCATAAAATGAGTTTTTGAAACTCAGACGTTTTATAAACTTATTTCTATCAATGTTTTAAAACCAAACCTTAATTATTTGAGCTAATTTTATGTGTTATTTATATTTTAATGTTTATTATTATTATTATTATTTTATTTTTTAGATGGAAAATTCTGTTTTTGGTGACTGCCTAGTCTTCCATGGGAAGAAGTACAATGGGCGAGATTATAGAGAAGAAAGGGAAGCTGTTTGTTCCAATGCTAAATATTCTTTCTTCTTTCTTACTCGTGTATACGATGAGTATGTAGAGAAAGTGTTAGGAAAAGTTACAGAAAATTCTAGTCCAGATGTGATTGTGGTGAACTCCTGTCTTTGGGATCTTACAAGGTATTTGTCTCCTTAATTTGATATCTTAATTAAATTTAATAATGTAGAAACTTTGTTAGGTAAAGTATGTTAAAAAGAAATTAAGTTATAAAACTTATTGGTTTCCTCTGGTAATTTTAAAATACTGTCTAATATTGATGCAATATTTACTTTAATTAGAAAAAAAAAAAAAATCTGATGTGTACACGACATGACTTCCTTGTACGGAATATTAAATTATACGCATTTTTTCTTGCATTTTATTTAAACTTAATAGATTGAATTAAACCTACTTCGCCGACAGCGCATAAACCACAATAGAATAAATGCATTCTTTAAAATTCACTTTGTTTACCATAGCGACACTCTGGCGCTAGGTTTACTTAACAGTATTATATTTCATTCATATTATAACTCAGAATGCACAAAATGTATATCATTTAAAGAATAGAATTATCTAATTGTTGCCACATGTTCTATTCAAATACTATAATAAAGCTAGAACTATGTATAAAAGAAATTAAGCAAACAAAACAAAAAAGAAACAGTTTTTCACAGACGATTGAGTATTTCTCATTCAATTAATTCAGTTCTCACTTCGCGAGAAGGCAGAAATACATAAAAACTCAAAATATCTATATTAAAAATTACGAAGTAAATCTCAAACGCTTATTTCCTCGAAAAATTCCAGAAAGAATTAAGCATGATTTAATTGGCAATAATAAATGAATGTGTTATCTTTCTTGTTGCGAAGCTAAGTTTCTCTAGATTGGCAACAAATCCACTAGTCTCCTGTTTCAAATGTAAACATCAATGGCCGCCATTAAAACAGGCTTAGTGGCAATTAAACAACTTTAAAATTGCTGATAATTCTGAAAATATTGCACACAGATTTACTAAAGGCATAAAATCCTTAACCGGAAGATAAAAACAACATAATTCAATCATTTTTAAAGCAAAAAATGTACAATTTACAAACATATAATAGTAAAGAAACTGAGATCACTGAGCAGGGTAATAGAGTGGATATATATATAAATATATTTATATACGTTTGGTGCGGCCGATTCCAACCAAAATACGAGGTGCACATCTACATGTTATAGCAGTCCTATACAGTTAAAAGTCGTTAATCCGGACTCGTCGGGACTTCGACGATTCCGGATTATCGATTTTTCCGGATTATAGATCATCAGTTTAAATCTCGTAAGATGGCATGTAGAAATTCTAAAATTAAAAATATGAAACCGTAATTTATGAAATAAAGAACAATTATGATCTAAAGGGTATCAAAATTTACAAAAAAAAAGTTTTATATTTATTTATTTACTTTATTAAACATTTCTTTCAATGTAAGTTGTTTAAGTTGCTTCGTTTTATGTGATAATACTTTCTCTTAATTCTATAAACAACATAATTTCTTGTTCAGTTACAAAGTTCCGCTGTTCAAGTCCCGTTAATTGCTGTGCCGAGAATACCGACTAACTTGTCAATCGAAATTTTTTCGTTTTCACTAACCTCTCTGTCACATTCTTCATGTCTTTATCCATTTTTTGCAGCAATTCTACTTTTTGTTTGTTGGACATCGAAACATACTTTCGTTTTGTACAATCCTTTGGGAGCTCCAGAATCAGAAATTCTGTTTGACATAATCGAAAGTTCAAGTTTACTTTTATAGTATTGCTCTTACAGTCTGCAAAAAATAATAAGCCGGATCCAGTTCGTAAATTAAGGAACAACGCAATCATCAACATTAATGAAATAGATAATTAGATAATTTTAGCTTATACCATCCGTTATACATTAAACGCACACGCGAAAACGTATTCTGCACTTGCGCACGCCTAAACGCCTATGCGCATGTGTCAACACGGCGCATGCGCAGAAAGTTTTTAGCTTTGAGGTCCGTTTTATAGATCATTCCGGATTATAGGTGTCCGAATTAACGACTTTTGACTGTATACAAAATTTCAGCGTTCTGAGGCTACTCATTTTTTGAGTTATGCGAGATACATACGTACAGATGCCACGAAAAATGCTCTTCAGAATTAATTTTAAAGCAGTTTTATAATTTTTCTGAAGGAAAAGAGTAATTTATTCTGTCCTTACATACAGATCGCAAAAACATCGTTAAATTGCATTCAATAGCGGTCAAAATGGATATTTTCGTTGAAATATGCTGCCTGAAACTTTTCACGATTACAATTCTTCCTTTTTACTTCGTACAAGGAAGTAAAGAGAAAGTGTTTTTGAAATTTCTTCCACAGATAATTATCAGTTATTAGGCTGATCAATAACAAACTAGAAAAGACAAAGTTTTGAATGTGTACATGAATGATATGTATTTGCTTTAAAGCAGTCCTATTCTGCACTTATGTACCTATACTATTGCTTACCATCATGATAGGAATACTCCTTCGAAATCTTTTAACTGAAGTTTGTCAAGTGCTCTTGGTGGTCTAGCTGGTCTTTATGTTCATCACAGAATATAAGAACTTAATTCATTGCTATTACCAGGAGTCAAAGGAATAGTTTGTACCATGGACTCCCATATTCTCCAAAATCAGAGAGATCAAACAAAGCTAAGAATTCTAAAAATAGAATAATAATGTTGATATTTTTTTCCAACATAAAGTAGATTGTGGTGTGGAAATGTATCTTCTCAGGCCAGACAGTTAATGCAAATTTTAACTGCTGTGTGCTGAGGCAAAGGAGAGTATGTATTTATTACAAAAGGCTGGAATGAAACTGGTTGCTTGATTATGATTATGCATCAAACCATAATATCTTGCAAATATAATAATGCTTGATTGAAATGAAAATCATTGTACTTGCAGTTTGATAGATTTGGCATGTGAAGATTTTTATTTTTTTAATTTAAGTTTAAATTGAAGGATCAGTATTTTGTTCCTGAAAAGGACTTTCAGATTAAATTGCATATGGTGAACACATGTATCCTAAGTGTTTTTTAAACTGATGTCTGTAGATTGCAGGGGATCTATCTAGTGCTCAACAGTGTTTACTAATCCTAAAATCTGATTATTTATCTACATTAACTGTGCAAAATATAAAAATAACATGATAGTTAAGATTTCGCAAAATACATATAGTATGAAAAGTGTCTGAACTCTTTCAAACCATATTAAAAGCATTCCAGTCTTGATGCAAGAGTTAAAATCAATGTGTAAATGCTGTAGAGTATTACTTGGAAAGCAACTTTAATTCAGGTAAGTTTTCAAAATTTGACTAGCCATGTCTTTTCTCTTTTATTTTTTATTTATTATTTTTTTATTTATAAAAGAGATATCTTTTATTATTATTATTATTATATAATGTAAAAATGCTCTATTTTGTATCTGTTTCTCTTTAAAATAAAGCAGTAAATAGTTACTCCCATATTTTCAGACCTGAAATGTAAAGGCACAGGAACCAGAATAAAAATCATTGAAACTGGAAAATGGAAGATTTTTTAAAAAATATGATGATCATTTGGCTCTTTTGCTAATATTCCATCATTTTGTATTTAGATTAAAAAGAATTCAATTTTAAATTTTCCTATTTAAGGTGGGGGCCAAAAGGAGTTGAACAATTCAAAGTAAATTTGAAAACCTTGATGAAAAAGTTCCAAAGTCTTGTACCTGATAGTTTAGTCATATGGCTAACTACTCCTCCAATCTCTAGTGAAATGAAAGGAGGCTTCCTTGTTCCACAGCTACAATTTCTGCAATATCAGCTGCGGTTTTATGTTATGGAAGCTAACTACTATGCACAAAAGGTGAGAATTGTTTATAATCTATCCAAAAATGCATTCATTGCAACAAAGCTGTTTTCTTATTTTAACTGTAAAATTGAAAATGCTAGTTATTGCTACCTGGACTTTTTCTTCCAATAAATGTCTGTAATAGTTTGGACACATTCGAAGTTGCACATGCACATAATTAATAGTTAGTAAAAATATTTTTGAACATATGTATTTACCCTGCCTAGTTGTTGTTAATGTATTAGATGACTTACTCAGAACTTTGTATATTGAATTCTAAAAAAATTACCATCTGAAAATTATGCAAAGAAATGCTTACTTAACCAGAAGTAGTAATTATAAAATTTTAAAAGAAAACAATTTATTTCCATTCAGAAATTTTTATGCTTAGGGGGGAAAAAAATAGCATATAACAGTTGCATTATGTAAGCATATAATGAAGTCAGTAACTATGATTGTTTATCTGTAACTTGTTCTTAAACAGAAAATGGCTGTTTAGTGACTTTTGTATAATAAAATTATGAAAAAAAAAAACTGAAAGGTTTCTGATTTTAAATTATATCCAAAGGGGCGTTTTTTTTAAACATTTTGTCTGTTCTTCGCACTTAAACCATAAAATTCAGTTCAAGAGCAGTATTGCAAAATAGTTTTAAAATAAGCATATTTTTAGAATTTCTGATACACAGTTCTGCACGCTGGTGATAAAAAGGTTCCCCTTCCCCGTAGATTATTTTCATTGCTCGCTTTTAAATCATTGAGTTTGTTAACCAAAAATTCGTTAAAGTTTTACAAAATATGAAATCGATAATAAAGCAAATTCATGCCCATATTCATATGAGGATTACGTCATTCAAAATTCGATGGCTCTATTTACCATTGTTTTATCACAATGCGAGAAACATGCATACATTTATGCAGATTTTTCATTATTTAATTTCTTCAAATATAATGCAGGACTCTAACATTTGGTGGCAACAGTTTGAAAAGTGAAATAGACATTTATAGTGAACCAATGCAAAATTGCAAAACAAAACAATGGTCCTTCAGGGATAAAGCCCCTTTGGACTAATAATTAACTAATAGATATTCAAGATTTATGATTCGCACCTTTCTTTCTTCCAATTATATATTTTTCTGTTTTTTTAAAATCTGATGTTGAGTTGTGCAGTGCTGTGAAAAGAAATTAAAATGTGATTAAAATTTATAGTATTGTGATTGTCTATTTTGTTGTTTAATTTAACAAATCCAGTGTACATTACTGAGTTTTGCACATTCATGAACTCTAGAATTTCTACTACACCATAAATTAACAATCCACAAACTGTGTTGACTGTTGAAACAATGTTTAAAAAACATTCAAAAATGCTACCTATATACAAAATATTACATATAGCTTACGGTGGAAATTGAAAAGAAAATCATTATTAATTCATTAATTATAAAAACTGTTCTACTTCATGTTATTTACAACACAATAATACTGGAAATAAAAGAATATTTAATTAAATATTACCAGTGTTTAATTTTACAACATACATAGTATTAAAAAAATGCTTTCAAATTTTAATTTTATTTTCCACTAGGGGAGTTGCATGGAACCCTAAGGTTCTTCAAAACACAATCTGAAAGGTACTGCTGTAGATCTTTATTATGTTCTTCCGTTACCGTTTATTTTAATTCATTCTTTACTGTCTTTTAGGTTGTTATTGCTCATGGCTTTGATGTTCTCGACATTCATTATCATTTGAAAATGCAGATTCATCGAAGAACTGGAGATGGAATTCATTGGCTTTCTCCAGCTGTACGTTTTGTAACAAACTTGTTACTTACTCATATCAGTTTGGCCTGGGGTATGCCACTTCCTCATAGGTAATAAGAATATAGCAAAAGATGTTTTATAAAAATTAATTTATTGAATAGTGGATTAATAGGATTTTAATAGGATTTTTAGACTTATAATATGGTATTATGTTTCAAAGGCACAAAGTTGTTAATGCTAAGCATTTTCTTGCCTTTTCAAGTGTTCTGTTTTCTGTAATGGTTATCCAGATGAAATATATAACTTATTTTCAATAGATCTGATTATGATAAAAAGCTCCTCTTTTTGTATGCTGGAGGCTCCAGAAATAACACATAGATTCCAATTTATACGGACTATTGTTTTGCTGTCATTGATACCTTAGCAAAAGCTGTTAAAATTCCAGATTAAGTAGCTCGGAAATAATTATCAGTTCATAAAATTTTTATCACGTTTCTGTTTCTTTTTACTGATCATTTACTTATTACATTGAAGGAAATGTTTAAAGTTTTATTGCCTAATTTATTTATAACCATAATTTTTATTCTGAGTTCAGATCATTAGATCAATTTTTGTGTTTTCTCTACAGTTTGCTAACTTGACTGTAGTTTTGTATTTATCTTAATGTGCTGTTGTGGTCTTGCTGTTCACCTTTTCTTACCTACCTAATCATATTTACCCTGACAGTAAAAAAAAATATAGAAGTAAAATAGGCATAATGGGCATTTTTATAAGCTTTTAATTTGTTCACTCATGTAATGTAATTTCTGAGGCTTTTGGATTCATTCTCTTTGTCAAAATTTTGCCAAATTTGTGAAAAGATGTAACCTATAAAGGGCCAAAAGCTTGCCAATAGTAGGAACAACCCATTTCCTCTTAGCACTATGAATTTGGGACTGATCTATATTGTGTTCAAATCAGGAGGATTAATAACAATACCATAACCTTTTTCATTCTAATTAGAGATTCACAATGGCTAGATCCACAAGTCACTGGTAATTTTATGTGATTTTTCGGTATCCGAGGACTGACTCAGGGGTTCGAATAGACAGATTGCATGAAAATTTTTTTTTTATTTTTACCATATATATCATAAATATGTGATACAAAGACCTTTTCCTATGCAGATAATCTTCGAATGTTTTACCATAATATATTGCCTGTATGTAAAATCTTGCAATAAAATGTGCCTTGATAAAAAGAAGAGAATGGAATTTTATTAATTGATAGCTGCGTCAACAGGGACTAGCATTTTGCTGTGCACTTACTGTTGAGGGTTTTACCTTTTTCCGGATATTCTTTGTGGATAATACAATGGCAATCCCTCCAGATGCAAAGCGTGATGTTTTTGTTGATCAAATTGCACTTTGTGATGCTGCCGGCGGGCTCATCGGGCACAGACCAACCCTCCCTTTTAGGGTGTTGTTGAATTAAATCCACTTTTCATCACACGTGACGATCCGGTTCAGAATTTTGTCTGTGCTTTCATATTTAAGGAGATTAGTGCTAGCCTGAGCATGTCTGTACTTCACTGCTTGAGTCATCTCATGCAGCACCCAGCAATTGAACTTGTATGTCAGGTTTATGCGATGCATAGCGTAACTAATAGACATTGAACTGACGTCTAACTCTTTAGCAAGCTCTCATGTGGTTGCATACTGATTTTCACAAGTTCTCACAGGCGAACCTCATCAACATCAGTAGGCTGGCCAGAGCACTCTGCTTCTTGAATGTCATAGTCCTTGTTTTTAAACTTTCTGTAACAAACTTTCACAATGTCATATGATATAACATTAATACCTCACACATGATTTAGAGTCATTTTGTAGCTGACTTTTTGCAACAGAAGTGGCTTCACCTTGTACTTAATAATAATGATATTTTTTTTACAAATTTCACAATGCAGTGTTCTAAAGTAATTCTGTTTCAAATGCAAAAAATTGTTTTACAAAATATGATTAAATATGCTAACGTAAACTGTTTGTACAGACAATATTTGTTGTGGCAGAAAACTTTTGTTAAAACCTGATATTTTCAATTTTTCATCTGACTGAAATATGCAGCAGCAATATAAGAGCCAAGAAAATCATTTCAAAGCTTTTCCTCCCATCATTTTGAAATTGCAGCTGCCACACTTGAGTTTAGATTGGTGCTCTTTCAGTAAGATTTTAACAAGTTGGTTACCCTAAATGTTCCCAAGTATCAAATTTTATTAAATGTTATAAACATCAAATTGAATTCAAATAAGCTAAATTGTTAAATGAGAATATTTTGTTTGCAAAAGTATTAATGTAAGTATAGTATTATGAGTTTATGTGTGAAATATTTAATGAAAATTATCACCATTCTGTTGGCTAAAAAAATGTATGAACCTTCAACTTCACAGGTAAAAATAAAGCTTTGTATATTGTTACAAATTTTGTATAATGTAACATGAACAGCTTCAAGAAAACAAAGCTCTACTAGAAAAATAAATCTATTTAACATAGAGTAAATGGCTGTCTCCCTAAATTGGCGATATATCACCAAGCTGGTGATGGTTTTACCAATGAAGTTTTATCATCAGATTTGGCAATAAATCACCAAAAGTCCCAAACTTGGCCTGTTCCCTATATAAGTAGTAGTGTAATTAATCCCTAAATAATAATTATAACCTTTTCTGACCCTTATATGGAACTTTAAACATATATGAATTCCAGTAACTTTCTGAAAAGGAAGGTACCGGAAAATTCTCAGTGGCTAGGGGGAACTATATAAGACCAGAGAGAGCATCCGTTCACTGAGAGATCTTCATGCGAGCTTCAATCTTGAGATGCACTTTGAATTGTGTTGTGTTTAACATTCTTAGCAGGTTGAAGCGGTAACTACTGATTGTGCTCTGTCATACTGAGAGGAGTTGCATGAGTACTTCCATAACTTTAAAGTGGTTTTTTTAGAGGGGGGTAAAATAAATTTTATCAAGCTATCATTGGTTCTGTGTGCATACAATCCATTACAAACCTATGCTCATGCAACAATATTGTAATGCATTTTGTTTCAAATTTATTAAAATTCCTGTTGTTTTCTCAAACATACTGTTATTTGTACATTAATAATTTAGTTTATTTTAATTACCTTTAATGACTATTTTAATAAAAGTTCATTTTCTTTTCACTATGCATGATTTTTTGTTCACATTTTGGTCAGAAACTGTAGGCTATAAAGCTAGAGCTTTTATCTTTTTTATCCACTTAGTGTGAAGAATATCATTCTGCAGAATTTATTCAGCATTTATCACGCATCCCATTTGTGCATTATATGAAATCAAACTCTTGCATTAATGAAAATAAACTCAGATTATAAGAGTAAAACTAAAAGTTCCATAAACTCTTTGGTCCATATTTAAGTTTATTATTACAAAAATTATGTAAAATTTTAATAAATATATAATTTTATTTCATTTTGATAAGTAAGAAAAGTAAATATTTTACATTAAATTAAAATGGATTTTCTGAAATTAGTTCCTGTGCTATTGTGTGTTAAATTGGTACTTTTCTGTTTCGCCGGCGTAAATCTCGACTTACATACAGTATACACATAAAAATTGTTAACAAATGGTTTTAAGTTTTTTATTTTGAAGGCATAAACATTTTAATATTGTTTAAAATTTTGTAAAAAGCCGATAAATAAAGGCAATAAATTTGTAAAAAGACATTAATTTAATAATTTACTATGGTTTCATGGTTCGACATCCTGATTCGCCGTTTCAGATCACGTGATCCCAAGTGATCTCATCTCATCTCATGTAAACTACGCTACAAAAAATCTAATTCTCTAAATCTAATTCTAATTAATTCTCTAAATCTAATTCTAATTATCTACATTAATTTTAAGTTAAATCTTGATTTGGAATGCAAGTTTAAATGCAAGAATTATTTCAATTCGTATGAATAGCTTACTCAGAAATTATGTAAAACCTCAGTGCTTTACTTCACTAGTGCATTCTCATTAGAATTGATGAATTTAACCCTTGACTTTGCCTTTTCTATATTTTCGGGTGAGTGATGTGATTGCATCCTAATTGTTTTAATAACCACAAATGGCCTTAGGGCATGAAATTGAACTATCTGGGTAAAAATTCTATCTAATTGTATGCCAGTATTGAAGAAAGAATCAATCTGATGGCTGCGACTTGTTTTGAAAATGAGGCGTAGAAGGTTACCAGCGAGGATATTCCATTTGGCATCAGTTGCACCATTATTGGCGACTTTATCGCCTGCGCCGCCAGCTAAACGGAAAAGTACCGTTAAATTTAGCTGAATAATTTTGAATTTAAGAATTTTGAAGCAAGCTAGGAAAACTGAAATTGTACTGGAATAAACTAGCATTTTTGAAAGAGTGAATCTTCTGCAAGAATAAATATATCACACTTCTTTAACTAGATTATATTTTCAGCCGGCCCATTAGCGGCCAAGCGGTAAAGTCACTGAACATTTCTAGTTCAGAACAGAATTCGAATCCTGGTGAATGGGCTGGCCACAAGGGAATTTTCATGTCTTTACCCATGTGTAGCATGTACAAGCCTATTTTCTTTAAAACATCCTGCACGAAGACATCCCTCCTCTTAGTCCTCGAGTGTTTTGCCATAATCAAAAAAATGAAACCTGTATTTTGAGCCTTAGATATTTTACAGATGTTGTATTTTATTTTAAATTTGCATGTAATGAAAAGCAAATTTAAGAATGTTGTTTTTAAAAATGTGGCTATATTAAGAAGTTCCAAATGAAGTACATACTTGAAACTCCTAAATACTAAGTTTCATTTTCTCAATATAATTTGATAAAATAGATTGAAGCTCCAGTTTTTCCAGAACATTTTTAAATCAAAGCAAATATAGATATTTGACTTAAATGCTAAATTCTCTACCAAAAATTAAAAATAGGGATCTCATGTCAAAATGATATAATGATCTAGATCAATTGAAAGTTCAGCAGTCTTTTTTTTTTTTTTTTTTTTTTTTTTTTTTTTTTTTTTTTTATATATATATATATAGATATATATATATATATATATATATATTATATAATATATATATATAAATGCTTTTATTAAATATCAATAAAAATACATTTTCCGGAGTGTTAAAATATTTAACTTGTTAAGATAAAGCCTTTGTTTAATTCTCTCATGGTGTTTCAAAGTTTAATTCTGTTATGGTGATGTTCAAAAGTTTGTAATCAGTTTTTAAATTATTTCCTGAGGACTTACTGAGCCTGACAGTAATATGGTGAAGCTTCAATTCAGATTTTTTAAAATTAATATTGAAACTCTTTTTCACGCAGATCTTAATTTAAGGAACAAGCTAAAAACCTCAGAATTTTATTTATGCATCATCAGATGGAGCAAAGCTCTTAATAGTGTTGCTATGAAATTTTTAATGTAATTTCTGATTTTCAGAAAATTTTCAAACATCACTTGACTATTTGACATCTATTGTTTTAAAATTTCATCATTTAAAAAATGTTTCTGTTATAAAATTTTGAAGTTTTTGTCTTTACTCTCCTTTGAAACAAGAATGATAAAAAAAATATTCGACTGATTTTCTATATATATTTTTTTTTAAACATGCTGCACTATGACTTTAAGCAAAAGGCTCTTCGTTAGACAGCATATGATCTACTCGGAAACACAATTTGAAATTATCATTTATATGTCACACTATTTTTCTTGTTTCTATGTATATTTCTTCCTTAACCCTCTTTTAAAATAAGAATGATTTTTTTATAAAGAAAGTATTCATTTAAATTTTGTTTTTAATCTAGTTGCTTAACTTTTCCGATTGAATGGATGCTAGATGTGGTAATTTATAAAAGAAAACAGTTATTCACAAAAGGTCAAGTATACCTTTCTCTTAGCAGAGTAAAATTATAAGAAGGGCTAAAGATTAAAGGAATGGTTAGCAAACCTGAATGGGGGGGGGGAATCGCATAATAATAATGCATTAAAGAAAATGGAGAGAATACGAGTTTACCATCCAAGATATAATCAAATAAAATCAAATATATTATTTTTATTAAGTTACATATAATACATTTTATCAAAAGGGTGTAAATAATAACAGAATTGTTCAAAGTACAAAATGAACGTTCAGTGTTGAAAAATGATTTTTCAGTTGACTAGTCCATTGATTTCATGTATTTGAGACAAGAAAAAGAAAATAAATCAATAACAAAGCTTTATAAAATAAGCTTTTATAAAAATTCTATAGATTAGGATTTTAAAAATTCAAATGAGAAAAAAGAACAAATATTGTATATTTATTTTTTTAATTTCTGTTTTTTAACTTCTGTACTTCAAGAACTTAAATGTCCCATTCTAGAAAAATAATTCCTGTAATGCATTTTGTGAATATTCTTGTATCAAATATTAACTGTTATTTTGTGAATATTTTTGTATCAAATATTAATTGTTATTTTGTAGGTGTTAACCACAGTTCTTAAAATAATTAATAAAGACTATGAGATGAGAAGACTAATAATATGAAACTTAATGAAACTACTTTTTTTTTTCACTAGATATAATTCTATTGCTATAGAAGATTTACTTTCCAAGGAGGAAACTGAAATAAATTTTGAAGCTAATGATAAAGAGAGTGCTTCTGGCAACCAGAGTGTTTCTTCTGAAGCTGAAGCAAATTCTGAAGCTTATTCCAAAGATAGTGTTTCTATTAACCAGGTAACTTTTTGAGTAGATCTGAATCTTATTGAAAATATTGTTAACATATTTGTTCATTGAGTTTATATGAGTAGACCTTAATGTTAATTGGTTCTAAAATTATACTATTAAAAAAAACTACAACTTTGCATGTATAGGCAAAATTACCTCCCCCCCCACACGTTTGAATGTACAGGCTTTGTAGTGAACCCAATCGTCTGCACTCATCTGAATTTGAGCATAAAATAATATTAGAACTCTTCCTGAACCTAATACAGTCAAAAGTCGTTGATTCGGACACCCATAATCCGGACTTCAAAGCTACAAACTTTCTGCGCATGCGCATGGTACGTTTACGCATGCGCATTTAATGTATAACAGACGCATGCACGTTTAATGTATAAGCTAAGCTAAAATTATCTAATTCAGTTAATGTTGCAGATTGCGTTTGTTCCTTAATCTTCGAATTGGATCCCGCTTATTATTTTTTGCAGACTGTTAGAGCAATTTTATAAAAGTAAGCTTGAACTTTCAATTATGTCAAATAGAATTTCCGATATATATTTACTAATATGTAAAGGATCTACAAAGCGAAAGTATGTTTCGAAGAAACAAAAAGTGAAATTGCTGCAATAAATGGATAAAGGCATATCCTTCATTTCTCTAACCATTCCGAAATCTGTTTATCAATTTTATGCTGCTCTGTGGCGGGAGGGGGGAACGCCACGGTGCGCAATGAATTGGAAGTTGATATGTCAGCACTATCCTTATCTTCAAAGCAGATGTTTTTATTTTATTTGGCTTATAATTCCTTACTAAATGTAGTATTTCATCTCGATGTACTCCGTCTTTGATATGATTTAAATCAAATTCCTCGTCATTATAATTCGCTTCCGATAGTGAAGAAAGTGACACAGAGGTTATTGAAAACGAAAAATTTCGATTGACAAATAAGTCGGTATTCTCGACACAGCAATTATAGGACTTGAACAGCGGAACTTTGAAGAAGAAATTATGTCTGTTTATAGAATTAAAGAGAAAGTATTATCACATAAAACGAAGCAACTTAAACAACTTGCATTGAAAGAAATGTTTAATAAAATAAACAAATAAATATTAAGCTCTCTCTCTTTTTTTTTTTTTTTTTTTTTTTTTTTGTAAATTTTGATACCCTTTAGATCATAAGTGTTCTTTATTTCATAAATTACGGTTTCATATTTTTAATTTTATAATTTCTGCATGCCATCTTACCAGATTTAAACTGATGATCTATAATCCGGAATCGCCGAAGTCCCGCTGAGTTCGGATTAATGACTTTTGACTGTATTTGAATAATGGCAGATTCTTAGAGTGCATGAAAATATAAGTGATTTTAATAATTAAAAAAACCATTGTAGTCAGGTGATGATTATGGAGATGGTGTTGAAAATTCAGGATTTGGTTCTGTTGCTTATGTGTGTTGTTGTAGTAAATAGTAGATTCTGAATTAATTTAATTATTAATAATCTTTGTGGTAAGCATAAGGAGCTGACTGATAAATGCACAGGTCTGCATATGTCAGACTGTCCATTTCCTTGGAAATATTTGTGCTGCTAAATTGTGCAAAGAGTTCAGCTAGTCAATAAAAAGGAAAGATAAAATTCTTGATGAACATATCTTGGAAAGATAAAATTCTTAATGATGACAAATATTAGATAAATGTTTTGTGTACCTGATTGTTATTTTCTTTGTCTAATGAAGTGTTGATGTAATAAGAGTTATAATTTTAATTGTTTCAAATAATATTTTGCTTCAAACAATTTTGTGTCCTAAATTGACTGTACAAAAATCTAATCTCTTCATATTAAAAGAAATTAATAATTAACTACTGGGTAAGCCCGCCAGGTGAGCAGACTGCAGCCAAAGCAAACTTTATGAATTTAAAGACACTCATTATTTTTAGTAGCATAAACTAACGAGCTCTTAAAAAAAAAAAAAAAAAAAAAAAAAAACTGTATTAGGAATTATTTTCAGGTCTTAACACAACAGAAAAGTCAAAAGAAGGCTGTAGAGAACCCTTTATTCAATCACATGTTGAACAGATGGCTCATGTGGGCTTACATAAAGCCAACACGTCTGGTGTAAACAGGAAATGTTGAACTTTAAATAAAATGTAATTAAACTAGCATAAAGTGCAGGAAGCTCTGACTCACAGAAGCTGGTGGAAAGAAGCCTAATGGCTACAAGCACTCAAGCTACAGAATCAAATTGCAAGTAATTCAGAATAACAACGTGGCCTTCAAGCAGCCATAACACACTCTAAAATCATCTTCCGAAACCTTGGCTTAAATACCATTTCTTTCTCCCTTAATTTGAATACATGTGTGCTATCTCACTAGCATTGTGGCAGGAAAATGGGGACGAAAACAGGACTGAACGTTCCTTTAACTAAAAATTAACTGTTAGTCAAACTAAATTAATCTCCACAAGTTTTATGTACACTTGAAATAAAAATGTATAAAAACATTTAAATATGAATTCTTTACAAGCAACAACCAAGTCATAAATAATTTTGTTGCCAAACCAGAAAACAAAAACGTATGACGTCATGATTTAAATTTAATGTACTATAGCAACTTTTTCTCTGTGTCAATAAAAAAATTAATGTAGCAATATTACATCATGTCAATTATCCTAACCTAAAACAAAAAAGTTGCCAACAGTAGCTATTTATTTAAAAGCTATTTTTATTTATTTATTTGACATTAATGAAAAATTTTTGGCATACAATGACATAGACTACAGCAACGTAGAAGTAGCAAAATTTGCGCAACCTGCGATTTCCGCAAGGAGGAATTTTTGCCATCTATTTAACTGTTTAACCCACTCTTCCCCCTTTCAAGCTTTCTTTCGGCTTTTCTGTGATGTTTAATTGTTTATTTAGATGTGGGCTAACAGATGGCGTTAGTTGTTCACATTTCTGCCAAATATACAAGAATGCGTAATGTAGCATTTTGCACGCACTTTTCAGAACTCAAAGATGTCTGACAGAAAGCTTTTTGTGAGTGGTATAACCTATATTCCTGATGATATTTCCGGAACTGATAGTAGTTGTCACTCTGATTTCAAGTATACTGAAGATAGTTATAGCGAAACTGATGAGAATTTCTTGGACTCCTCTGCAGATAGTGATGAATCTCAAAATTTAGTTTCTATTGAAAACGTTCGACAGTGGTTCAAAATTGATATGCAAAATATTATGTTATGCAAATATTTTCATTAATGTATATGTTTTACCTTTGTATTTTATAAAATAAATCATAATTTAACCAATATTAATTTTCAAAATTTTCCTTTTATATCATTATTCTTCAATTTCAGTATTCTGGCAACCTTTTTCTATGATCTAATTCTATATTGAAAAAAAAAATTCTTTTACAAAAAATTTTTATATATTTTAACTCTAAAATATATGTAGATCTGAAATATCTAATAAAACAAATACGTAATTTTTGAACTATTTTGATTTTAAAAAAAGTACGCAGTGAGAGGGTTAATCTTTGGCAATGCTTTTTTTATTTCCTATTTTTTAAAACTTACAAATTTTTTATTAGCAAACTATGATTTCAAAGCGAGCAGTGGCAACACTTTTTGAAACAAGGCATTTTTGTCTCCAGCATGTGAAACTGTTACTGCTCAGAGAAATGAGCACAAAAATTTGTGTTTTAATAATTTTTAATTAATATCTCAATTGATTAAAAACATATGAAGATGCGAATGGTCGAAATGGTTTCCCCATGAATTTTTGAAATCAAAGGGGGCTCACCTCTCCGCTGTACTGGAGGAGATGATGTTAACAGATGTGCACAGATTTTAATAGTGTAGATAGCGGGAGCTGGCATATCATGAGTTAACTTGCAAGACTATGGTTTTAAAGATTTAATAGAACCTTTAACTGTCTGAGGGAAAATTATTTGCTGGGTCATTTCTATGAAACAAGAAAGGAAAACAATTGAGCAAGTTCTAGGTTAAAGATGGAAAACAGTGCTGCTGGCACTATCTGTTGATTGAAAAGTGAATAAAAAGCAGATGCGAAACAAATTCTTGAAAAATTGATGGTAAAGATTAATTAGAATTGGTATCATTAACTGGAATTGACAGATAATGTGGCTGTGAAACACCTTCAGGAAATCTAATTCACTAATGAATGATGTTTTTTTAGTAAATATAGCTACAGGAGACTACAAATGTGATTTTTTTTTTTTTTTTTTTTTTTTTTTTTTTTTTTTTTTTGCCTGCAGTGATAAGGAGCAAAGTATTCATAAGTTTCTTCTTTCCAGTCATAAGTCTTATGCCTTTTAATACAAAATTTTAAGTTTGTAGTTGATTAGCATTAAACCACAGCAGTAAGGAATTTTACGTATAACCCAGGGCATCGTATCTGCAGTAGAATTTTTAGGTATTGAACTGCAGATTTTATTATTAAACAAACTAACATGTTCTCAGATTTTTCTCTGTCATTTTCAATTGTTACAAATACAGGAATACCTCACGTAGTGCAGCTTCATTCAGTGCTGACCCTGCTATAGTGCAGTTAGTAATTTGATTAGTAAATTTCATTTGGTACTGAGTGATTCACTATTGTGCAATTCTGAAAGATTTCATGCCAAAAAAATTCGGCCTGAAATAGGTACTGCCCAAATGGACGTTGCTGATTTGTCATTCATGCATAGGCATTTGCCAACAGGCATGGCAGACTCACAAGCAAACCTACCCTCAGTCTCTATGATAGCCATATTGCATGAACATTTATCTTTCTCACCATCTGATTTACGTCGCCTGATTCACTCTTCTTCTGATTTGTACTCATAATGAATGAGAAACAAAAATCTGATACTAGTTGCAGTAAACCAAACAAGCATATATTTCAGAATTTACATGAAAAGCTATAAATTATTAAAATTCGTAAGGAGGGTTATCATATGCCAAGATTTCAAGAGATAAAAAAAATAAGTCTCCAGTTCAAAAGATTGTGAAAGATGAAGAGAAATGCAAGTTTGGAATGGCTAACAACTCTTTTGCTTCCAAGAAATCAACTAGCAATTCGAACAAAAGCATCAAGTTTTTTTCTGCACTTAAAGAAAAGCAGTTTGAAATCAAAACACTTAGGAATTTGCAATGTTTGCAGTGTGGGTGAAAGCACAATTGTAGATAAAGAAGCAGCATCAAAATTTCCAGAAGAAATAAAACAAATTATTATTGATAAAGGTTACCTTAATGAACAAATTTTTAACATGGATGAAACTGGGTTATACTGGAAGAAGCTGTCTTCTTGAACTTGTTTGTCAGAAAAAGAGAGCAATCTCACCCAGGCTATAAAACATCAAAGGAGTGGATTACATTATTATTAGGAGAAAATGCATCTGGTTATGACAAACTGAAGCACATGCTTGTGTATCATGCTGAAAACCCTCAAACTTTAAAGGGATGTGCTAAAAACTTATTAGTGGTTTGATGTTCTAATAAGAAAGCTTGTGTTACTAAAGTAGTGTTTGAAAGTTGGTTTAAAGATTGTTTTTGTTCCTTTATTAAAATTTACTGTGAAGAATAAAACATAGCCTCTAAAGCATTATTATTATTAAATAATGTGCCGGATCATCATACTGGACTTTCTAATCTTTGTAATAATGTCAAAACTCATTTTCTATCCCCAAATACTACCTCTGTTCTACAATCCATGGATATAGGGGTTATTTCAATATTTAAGGCTTTTTATTTGAGAAGGATGCTTTCACAGGCAGTCAAAGCAACTTCTGGTAAAGCTTCCCATCTTTGATGGCATTTTGGAAAAATTAGGATATCTGAAATGCTATGAAATATGTTTTGCCTCATTGTGCTAATGATTTTTGTAACTTTATCAAATGGATACAATACAGCGGAAGTCTTGAAACTCGCACATAATTTAGGTTTTGACTCATTGGATGCTGCCAATGTCATGGACAATATTTAAACAGGGTTCGTAGCGGTCCTTATAAGTGCTTATAAGTCCTTATATTTGAAAATAAAATATAAAGGCCCTTAAATGTGCTTACTTTTTCTTTAAAGCCCTTATTTTTTTTTTTTTTTTTTTTTTTTTTTTTTTTTTTAGTGCTTATTTTTTGCTTTTAGTACTTTTTTTTTTTTTTTTAATTAACGCGCAATTTTTCCCCGTACCAAAGCCGAAACTAAATAAACAACTTTTCTTCCTAATATGGAATGTCAGATGGTGAATCATACTCCCGGAAATAACTTTTCCCGCTTTCTCTGCATTAACATAACCTTTGGTGTGCGCAGAGAGTTATAGACAGGTGCCCGTCGTTCTGTTGGTCAAAGAATTGCGAAAGCAGTAGAAAATTCCGGTACATTTGGCATTCTTTTCCTCCCACCCAAATACTACACACGTTTGAATTTCTATCAAGATCTTAATAATCTGCATTCTCATTCCGCTTGGTCAGTTCATATTCGTGTTTATTATGATCATTATGTTTATATTATGAGTATATGTATGAATGTTTATAATAACATAGTTGCAGTAACTGCTAAGTCTCTTTCTTTTCCTTTATTTAGTACTTTATTCTCCCAATACCGGCAGCTGTTGAATCCGATTGTGTAATATCATGTAGGAAAGAATTACAGCGCACACATTGCACAATAACGTTTGGGATATTTTGCAGAGATAATTCATTTTGATGTTCGGTCCGAGATTTGTGTATGAACACTTAAAAGAGTTTTACTGTGCTTGCAAAGCAGAATATTTTTCTGTTCCATTGGTTTGTTTTTATATTATGTTTGTTTATGCACATATCGAAATGTCAAAAGCATTTATTTAGCGGAAAAATCTAAAGAACGGCTACAGTCTATCCCCCCCCTCCGCTCCTTTTTTTAAAGTTACACTTGACTGTCTGAATATTCGCCAATTTTCAAGTATGTGGATAGTTAAGCTTTTACTCTTAAAAGGATAACTGCATGAAGCAAATTTCTGTCTTCTCATTTCAGAAATGTTCCTCTTTTTTACTTAAATTACTTTGCTTGCAATATATGTTAAGGGAAAACTGATATAGGATGAAAATTTAGAAAATGTTCAGAATTTAGATTTAAATTAGTTAAATGTCAATATGAGTGGAAAAATAAATTATATTTATTATTAAGTTCCAAACGAATAGAATAAATATGCCTTATTATTTATTTCCTCTATTTTGAACTGAAATTTCATCATTAAATCTTGTAATATAGTTTAGTTCTGCATAGTTTTTTTTTTCTCTCATTGTAAACTAGTTTTGTAAATTGAACTGTTATTTAAAATTTAAAAAAAAGTAATTATTTTCCATGGTTGAGGTAATGCTTATTCTCTCTTAATAAATACTGCATTTCTCATATTTTAAATTACGAGTCTAATTTTTAAGGTTATGCAGTTGTGTATAATGTAATTAGATGGTGCTTATTTTTTTTTCTTAAAATGTGTTTGAAAAGTGCTTATAGGTGCTTATTTTTTTAACTAAAATGTGGCTATGAACCCTGTTAAATGGCATCTCAGCCTCTTAATAACAAATCTGTCATCAACATAGAAGATAAACAGGCTTATGAAGAAGATAGTAGAATTGAAGAAAATGTGCAAATTGAAAAAAAAACTTCACATTGTATAATTCTTGAAGAATTATTCAGTAGCATTGGAAAAGCACGTGAATTGATTGAAGAAAATTATCCAAATGAAAAAATGGAGCCTTGAAACAATGTGAAAATTAAATAAAGCAATTCTACATGATAAACGAAGAAAACAAAATCGGTGCAAGAAACTTTGGTTTCTGGTTAAAAAATGTTTTTATTTTTGATATTGTAATTAACAATAAACTTATTGTACTTTTTACTCTTTTATTGTTTTTTATTAATTTTAGGTAAATACGTAAATATTTTTGTTTTAAAGAAATTTGATAAGAACAAATTATTAATTTTCCTGTAGAAATCATATTTCACTCAGTGCAGATTCATTTAGTGCAATACTTTAGAATAGGGTTTCTTAAAGTGTGGATTGCGACTCTCAAGGAGTTTCGCTGGACCTGCAGAAGGGAATCGGCAAAAATTTAAGCAGTTTTGATATTTCTTTAACTTATTATAATTTTACAATTACCAAATATTTTTACACAATGTGTCTGAAAATAGATATAGGTAAGACAATACAGACAAAGAAAAAAACGAGAGCGTTTCAACACATTCTTTTTATAAAATAAATGTTCTTTTTCCTTGCTTTGCATGTGACGCCATCATTTCGTCTCCTACTTTTTCACAGTGTTCTGTGTCTTAAAATTAGAAATTATAGTTAATGACCTAAAACTGCAATAGTATTTTACAGTACAAGTGAACAAATTGACAGTTTCACTCATGCGTGTGTAGGATTTGCGCAATACTTATGGAGTCCTGGGAGTCGTGAAAAAATCTCAGTGGTAAAAAGGGGTCGCGGCTGAAAACAGTTTAAGAAACCCTGCTTTTGAATAACTAATTAACAGTACTAAACAAGGTATTACTGTAATTGCTTTACTTTACATATTGTATATTAATGATCATTTCTTTTTGCTACACTAATAAAATTGTTCTCAGAAGAGCAAATTACATTAGTAAAAATAATTGTATTAAAACTTTTTAAAGCATCAGTTCTTTGAAATTTAGCTAAAAGTTTTATATATACATAAAACTATCCTGCAGATTTCATGTCATAATTTGATATAATTGTGACAAATATTATAACTATCTATGTGTTTTGTGCATTAGAAATAAGTTAAACTGAAAGTTTTAAACTTTTTAAATTTTTATATATTGAAAATTGATTAAAAAATGCTTTTGAATTTTTTGTATTTGTAATATGTGTTAAAACAGTATTGTAGATTTGTTTATTAAATTTTGAAATATTTTGTGAAATATTAAAATTCCAATGTATCACAAATTACATAGGAAAAAGAACCACTAAGAAAAGCATTTAAATTACTGCATAATTCCAAATATCTTATGAGGCATTAATGAGTTTCAAATAAGATATGAAGAAAGTATTTAATTTAGAAGTCAAACAACAAAAATTATCGTTATATTTTCAAATTTTTCACAGGACTAGTTTCGATGGTTTTACTGAATCATCATCCTCACCTTTAAATTTTGCAGCTGAGGGTGATGGATCGGTAAAAACTAGTCCTGTGAAAATTTCGAACTAGTCCATCGAAACTAGTCCTGTGAAAATTTGAAAATATAGCACTGATTTTTGTTGTTTGACTTCTAAATTAATATTTGTTTGGCATGTTATTGTATCTTAAAGTATTTAATGTTACAGAGTAATGAGACATTTTGATATTTTCTAATTTAATTTTTTTTAACTTTAAAGTTAAAATTTGATAAGGGATAATTAAGTTCCTTTTTATCTTAATTTGAAATAAAACAGATGTAAAAAATTTAATTTGGTTGGCTACCCAATTAAATAATGCATTAATAGATTAATTAAGCATTACAAGGAGCTTATCACTTCTAAAGATTAATGTACTGAGTATGTTACTTGAAAATTATTACATTTAATTTTTAGAGCTCTTATACAATTATATCAGTACCTTTATATCTTTAACTTATGATGAAATTTCTGTATTTCAGATTTGACAAATTCTGCATTATTCTTTCACTTAAATTATCCTTTTTAATTCAGACTTAAAAGGAAAATTACAGATTTTTGGATGATTTAAATTTAAAATATTAGAGAAGAGAAAGGAAATTATCTTTAGGCAATCCAGATTTTGAGATCAGAAAAGTATATCGTACAGCATAGTGGTTGCTCATTCCAATATGTGTGTACTCATGATAATTCTAGGTCTAGAGTGCGTGATCTAGTTGTTGATATTTTTAGTTTAACTACTTTAAAATTGAGATGCACTAAACCTTTTGTAATCTTCTTAAAGCTAAAATATCAATATGTTAATTAAATGCAAAATTTCAAATATCTATATATATTTTTTCTTCCAGAGATCTTCAGTTGCTTCAAGCAGTTATGTAACTACTCCTCAAACTCCTGTTTCGGAAAAAGAAAATTCCAATTCTTCTCCAAATCCTGCAAGAAAAAAGAAAAAACGTAGAGGAAAGAGAATGAGAACACCTGTACAAAAGAAACCTCGCTGTATGAGTTTTAATGGAAGACAACTATTTGAACAACGTAGGCAAGCACGTCAAAGACTGTGCATTATGCCATCCCAATATCATTCATCAGCTCCTTTGCTACACAATAATTTCCCTATGTTGCCATACTCTGCTCAACAGTTTGCCTATTTTGAGCAACCTGGACCATATGCTGCTGGTCCTTCACAACCACGTCAACCTTATTATTTTCCACCACCTTCAGAACAACATCCTCTTCAACCAAATATAAATTTTGCCTCAGATTATTCACCATTTGACTACACTCCTTTCTCTGGAAACTGGTAAAATTTTGTATTAAATATTTTGCCATTGTGATATAAATGTGCCATTAATGCTTAATTTTTTATTTGTAGAATAAAGGTAGAATTTCAAAGTGATAAAATTCAGATTTTTTCCCCCTTTTCCTTGTATTACAAGTTCCTAAATATAATTAATTTTTGTAAAATATTTGCAACTTGTTGTGTGTATATATGTCTTCATCTGAGTGTTTAAATTAATGACACATCTTTATTATTATTATTTTTCAAAATTAAAACTGTGATATATTGTGTAAGAAGGAACTTTATTATTTTGGTATTTTTGTAGTTGTGAAATAAACTGTTTTTGTAAAACTTTTAAATTTTAACATAATAATACAATACAATGCATGTTTTGATAAGATAATTCTAGGTCTGGAGTGCTTGATTTAGTTGTTGATTTTTTTGCACATTTATTAAATGAATGTGTACATATAGTTTGGCTTACAGTTCCATCAAAGATATACCCTATAAATATTAACAGAAAAGCAATTAGTAATGTATGTAGGCATAATATTCTTTGTTTACTGTGTGATTTATTGTTGAGCTCTAATTAATACATGTTTTCTAAAAGGATATTAAAAAAACTTTTGAATGCAAAAAATTAATAATGGAATGTTAATTTTTTAATTTATCTCAATTAAAATAATCAGTGTAATCTTAGTTAAATAAAAATAAGTATTGCATCAGTTTTACTCAAATAAAAAATAGTAATAATTCCTTTGTTTAATTTTAGTGCAGCAAAACTTGATTCCTTTGTTTTATTACAGTTAAAATAGGTTGCATTTAATAAAAACTAGTTATATTGCTTAGCGTTATAAGAAAATATATACTGTACAAAATCGGAGATTTGGGACTTTGTTGATTCTTTATTTCAAATATTTTTGCATCATTAGTTTAAATCTAATAAATGGACATAACAGCACGACTTCCTTTAATGTAATGTTCTTTTAAATAATGTCACAGTAGATAAATATTTTGCCTACACAGAAAAGAGAAAACACAACCCAATAACCCAGCTGCATTTTCAGTTAATCTGAATATTTGTAGTTCTGTTCTACTGAATATCTTATTATTTTTATTTTATTGTTAGTGGTATTTTGTACCATTATTTAAATAATTTGTTTACTTCTGAGATGAAAATGATGCCGTTATAGTTCCTGTAAAGTGTAATGTTTAGTTATAACGAAAACTGAAATATTAATACTAAACTCTTTGTATTTTATCTAAATGAATATTATCTGCTTACAATACTAGTAAGCTTTATACTGTTTAATTTATAAATACTTATATCAGAAAGAAGGTCTAAAATTGTTATTTTTCAATTCCCAAACAGTTATGCTATTTCATTCATAGCTTTGAGAGAGGGTTTTCTCTCTCTCTCTCTATCATGTTCATTGAATTTGCATTGCAAATGCATAAGAATACTTTTAATTCTTTAGAATTTCATTTTAAAGAATTAAAAGTATTCTTTTTTAAAGTTAATGTATCATTTACAGTATGTATTTTTTCAAACGGGTAATTTTCAAAATTTCTTCATCGAATTTTAATAACTGAACATGATTTATTACTAGGGATTGAATATATAAGGATTACATGTAACATAAATTTGTGAAAATTTGTATTAGACTCTTAAGATGCAGAAGTGGGAATTTGCTAAGGATTATTTATTACATTTGTTTTCTTAAACTTTTTAACTGGCTTTAAATAAAGCCTCCTTTGATGGTTTTTGAAAGCATTTGAGAAATACCCAAATAATATTTAATATTCTTTTTTATATAGCTATTAGAAGTTTAGTATACCTGGCCTGTTTGTGGATATTTGTAAAAAAAAAAAAAAAAAAAAAAAAAAAAAAAGGTAATAATCAAAAATATTATTTGAAAAATGTAATAATGAATAAATTGTTTCAGTTGATGATAAAATATAGATGAAAATGAGAAAATTTAAATTCAAATATGTGAGAAAAATTTTATGCAATAAAGTAAAATGCATCATGTATTTTTTATCTTTAAATTTTCAAAGTGTTTTCTTTTGTGTTTTGTTGTCAAAAACGTAATTTTATAGCTAATCAAAATATTACAAATTTGCGATTTATAAATTTTAAATATGAATAACAATATGATCTCAAGTGATAAAAATCGCCTCCTCTGTAAAAATTAACGCTTGTTTTTTTTTAAACTCGTACTGTACTATGCCCCCCAAGTTACTTTTACTTGTAGTTTAACTTTTCGAAGCCAGTTGTAGCCAAGAGGAAAATAAAGAAATAGAGTTGCATATCACAAGAACATGTAAAGAATATCTAACAAGCAGGCTAATTACTTGGATAACAGTAATAAATGTGAGAGCTAACAAAGAAATAAAAGGTATTGATAAACATATATATTGGCATTAAAAACATCTTTCGTTAATTACAATATTAGAGCAAAGAGTATTATAATAATGTCATAAATTAAATAACTATAAAGCATACCAGTTATATTTTTTATAAATTACATCAATAATAGTCAAGATGTCTGAACTAGACTGAAAAATTTAACATAGTTCACTGGTGTGCAAAAGATTATTCCTTATTAAAGTGTGCTAGAAATATTTTTTGTTAAGTAAAATAATAATGTTTGCAGAAATTAATGGTTAAATTTAAAAAAAAAAATCTTAGCATGAAATCTATTATAACAACATTACTATGCATTTGGAACACTGACATATAAATTGTAAATAAATTTAAATTATTTTGCTAAGAAGTTTTTTCTAAAATTTATCTAGAAGAAAAGAATTAGATAAACAGTACTGCAAATTAATATAATCAGTCAAGCCTCTCAATAAATAAAAGCTTATTTTTTTTAACCAAAAATTAAAAATTGGGATGCAAAAGTTTGTGTAATATACTTGGAAATATGTGAACATATAATTAATTAGAAATGTGTAATTAAATAAAAAACAAGCTAATTAACAGTAACATTAAGCTTAATTTCATTCAATCTAAAACAAGCAATTGATCAGGAGCTCCACATAACTGAAGTTTTAATGCTATTTTATATAGATTTGCATATAAAATATTTGCACTTGTGAAACAAGTGAATAATGTACTGATAGTCAACAGGAATTAATTATTTCACAATGGTTAAAAATATAACTACTTGCCAGAAGGTATGCAAAGTTGCCATAGCTAGAGAAATTGAATGATTATAGAAAACTCGTAAAGTTAAGTGCTACAGTGTGAAAAGAAAATTCTGGAATATATATGTTAAAATTGGATGGAGAAATAATTCTTGATTTATTGATATCCATATAAACTCTATGCTTTTGGGGAAAGTTGCATGTAATTTGCACCGAGGCATCAATCACCGAAACCGAGTTAATTTCTTTCCTTATTTTTTCTTATTAGAGGGATTTGTAAAAAGATATGCTAAGGTAAAGGTGAAAATTTTTGCAATATTTTTAAAGAATAAATTTTTAAAGTATTTGTATGATACATTTTTACACAGCAAATAAGTACAAAAAAAAAAAAAAAAAAAAAAAAAGAGCTAGGAACTCAGGTCGAACTACCAATGTTTAGTGAATTTTCTGCTAGATCATAGGACCTTTTGAAGTTAGGCTGAACAATATAGTAAAGAAAACAGAAGATACAGCACATGTAAGAACAAAAGTGTGCTGAATTAGAGATTTACATGTTTGGTGACTGAGTTAAACTTATCTGTATGCCATTGTGAAACATTAGGAATATAGTATAAAAGCATCAATGGAGAAGGCAATGGCAACTAAATCATTATAATCTAAATGTATAACATTATCAATATCGGCTATTAATTTCAATACTGCTGAAAAAATTATACATTAATTATATTACAAATCAAATGAATTCGTTGCATTATAAATTACAACAGACATATTAGCGTGATTTAGCGACCATCTTTGTTAGTAATTTCAAATAATTAAGCCTGAAACTAGAATGGAAAACAAGCTGCATGCTGAGGATTAAGCTTTACAAAGGTGTTAGAGACATCTTCTGTTAACTAGAGTTATGATGCAAGAATTTGTAAAAATTATCATTTAAATACATTGCTGGCCACCCAAATTGCAACACCAAGAAAGACAAGAGATATCACAACAAAATTTATTTAGTAGTTAACATGTTGACCAAGTATCAAATGATTAAATTTATAGACTTCTGTGAAGTGTGGTTTCTTCTAGAATCAGTAGCCAGAGTAGTACCGCCATTGTTGGAGATCAGCCGCTGCCACACGCCTTCGGCATTGATTCAAAGAGACTTTGGGATGTGTTCTTCGGGTACAGTAGACCAAGCAGCTTTCACACGTTGCCAAAGTTCATCTGGTGTGGCAGCTTGGGATGTAATCTGGGTCAATCGTTCAGCAACCATGGACCACATGTTTTCTATCGGCAAAAGATCTGGAGAACGAGCCGGCAAGGGAAGCAATTCAATCTGGCGATTGACGAAGAACCCTTGGACAATGCATGCCACGTGTGGTCGCGCATTATCCTGTTGAAATATGGCTGTGGGCAAGCCCTGAAGGTAAGGAAGGACAACTGACTCCAACACCTCGGAGATGTAGCACTAGCTGTTTAAAGTACCAGCAATGCAAATTAGAGGAGTGCGACAGTGATATCTAATATGCACCATACCATAATACCCGGTGCAGGATCAGTATGTTGGTGTATAACGCAGCTGTTCGGCATCCTCTCTCCAAGGTGTCTCCAGACTCGAATCCGACCATCGTGGTGTTGCAAACAGAAGCGTGACTCGTCAGTAAAGACAATTTCAGTCCATTCTGCCGTCCACATCCTTTCATCACACCATTGGCAGCGGAGACGTCTGTGGTTCTGCGTCAAGGGTAAACGAAGCAATGGATGCCTTGCGGATAGACCAATCTGCTGCAAACGACTTCGAATGGTACGCGCAGACACTGGAGGATGCATTACAGGCTGAATGTGTTGTGCTAAAAATATACATAATTGCATATATACATACGACAAAATAAACCTATAAATTAATTATTTGCGGATTTTCTCAAGAACTCTCTTACTCGCACCCACGTTACACTTGTAAAAAACCACATAATGCCCATGCAAACAGCCCGTTCGCCTGGAATTGAACCCACGTCGAATTACTAGTTTCGATAATGTTGAAGTTTAGCCTCTGTTATAAAAATTGTCATTGAACAATGATACGCATTATTTCCTTATATCAATTTCACGGTTAATTTCAATAAGTGTCACTTTGCAAAGCATAAAATCAAATTTTTAGGACACATAGTTGGTTCCGGTTCACACGAACCTGACCCAGAAAAAGTTGAAGCCATACGTTGAAACATGTTATTTACCATTATAGTGCCTCTTCTTAACTTAAGAATACACAAGAAACATTCTTTTGCACATTATGATAATTTTATAAGCATATGTAGCATGTATAAACACTTGTATGGAGCTTTTTCCTGAATTTAAATAAATATGACATATCATGCACTAGGAGCATACCTATATTTTATGTAGAGGTAGTATTTTATGGTGACAGAGAAAGCTAATAAGACAAATATTTATATGCCCAATTTTACTAAAAGACTCAGGCTAAAATGGAAAAAGTATGCGGCTGGATTAAAAGTTCTTACCAAGCCGTTATTTTCGCAATCATCAGGTTGTAATCATACATTTCCAATGAAAGAAGTGTTGTAAATGATGAAAATACTCATGTTTTACAAAAATCGACAAATAAAGAAGTCTAACTTCTAAGGCGAAACAATTTTAAATGTCGGCAATTTTCAGCTCAACTTCGTGAGAGAGAGAGCTAGGAATCCTGGGTAGTGCGTGTTTGCCTTCGGGCTAAATCTGTCTTGAAGCTGTTACGCTCCGCCGTTTATTAAGCGCCCTTTGATATTCGCCGGCTAATTTAAATAAGGGGCCAACTACGTTAGATAATTGCGTTAGTAAACCTCCAAAATGCTTACAAATTTAATCATTTTGTCTTCATGCCATACTGTCTATGTGAAATAAATCTTTTTTGTATTTGCTTTCATTCATGGTGTTGCAATTTTATTGGCCAGCAGTGTATAAAATGTGAAAGTGTAGACCATCAATTGTATTAGAGGTTTCCAACCTTTGCAGGCCTTTACCAATACATATTCCTTTTTGGGAGACTCTTGAACTGAAAAAATTAAATTCCAGACAAGTGTAAAGTCCTAGCGCTTTTTACGAGTTAAGTCTCTAGATCATATGATGACAAGTAACCAGTTTTTAAGCACACATTAGTAATTTTTTGTAAAATCTTGGAACACACTTCTTATAGCAATTAGAGACAAATTTCGTGTAGAAAATGTCTTGAGGGCAAAATAGATTGAATAAAATAAGTAAAAAATAAGAAAATAAAAATTAGATGTAATATTTACAAGTCCTTACATTTTCATGTTCGGCTGGAATCGAACCTATACACTGGGAATCCTGAGACAGGTCTTTCACTTATACCGCTCGGCTACTGAGTTCGCTGCTATGAATGGGAAGTTACCAATCACTGGTGTGATGTGTTGTTCTTGGCCTTTTTTGAAGTTGAAGGGTAGTGTAGTCATAATTCCGCATTTCTTTTAGCACTTGAGCATATTTGAGCAGAATTTGTGTGTGTATTTTAGTATTTCTGTGTCAATAGGCTTTAAGTTAAGGTCATTGTTGATAACTGTGTTCCTTGTGTAGCGTTCTCTATGCTTCCTCTTTACCTTATCTTTAATTTCTGCACGTTTTAAATTTTGTAAATTGGCAACACAAAAAGACTGTTCGAAAGATTAACATTTATTGAAATTTCTTTTTACTTCCTTGTACGAAGTAAAAAGGTAGTATTGTAATCGCGAAAAGTTTCAGGCAGCATATTTCAACAAA